AATTTTAGTATTAGTTGCAGCAAAATGAGCTGTAGTGTGACAAACTCACTGAGTGTGTCCAACCTTACCACATTTCAAGCATTTAAAATTACCAAACACGCATGAATTAAATGAGTGAAACCTGCCACAGGACAAATACTGACCAAACTTGTGCCTATCTTCGTGAACTCCAAAAACATGTTATTACTGTAAACTGCGACACCAACTTCCTGAAGTTTAGTGAATACACTAATGATGCTCAAGGTATTTGTTTTCTATCCAGCAAAGTAGCGGCTATTCTTGACTAACCAGAAGAAACCACAACCGGGCGATAACGTACATCCAACGGCCCGACAAGTTTCTATTTACGGTTCATTCTGTTATTTGCATATCTTGTTAGAATCTTAACAGACCAACTTCGTGGAAATGAGAAGCTCATCAACTTTGAAGACAACGCGAAAGCGCATTTCCCACAGCTAACAAAATTATCACAGAAACAACCATGTTCGCACACCAGGACAGCAAGCTATCTATTAATCTCGGCAATTAGGGGACTTTTACAACGATGGGTAAACAACACCTGGCATTCTTCTCGGGACGGTTGAAAGTCATTTAGTCAAGGTATAGCACTTTCGGTAGGGAACTGCTGAATATGTATAATGTTGTATGGCACTTTCATCACTTTGCAAAAGGCCGAGAGTTCACTCTGTTTACCGACCATAAACCTCTCACCTCTAAGGCCGTCTTCAGACAAGCACGCCCCTCGAGAATCTTGGCAACTGACTCTCATCAAGCAGTTCACTTGGGACATACACGAAATTTTTAAGGCAAACAATGTCCTTGCAACACTTTTGATCACATAACTTCCTTGATAGAGAAGCTTGCAACCAAGATGATAAACTGGTACTTCAGGAGGATGGTTCAACTTCAAAATTGGGCTGAAACCAACTTAACTTTGACACTTCAAAGTGTAGACTAGTCCATCTGAGACATGTTGCAAACTACGAATAGAACTTAGGCAACTCCCTTCTGGTTGTGTCTCAAGCTAAAAAAGATCTAATTGTTGGTACCCTATACTTCGAAGTCTTATGCTAACTGCTACAAAAATTCCTTCTGAGTAAACCTTGTACTGGTAATGGTTAGAAGCATTTTCGGTCAGTTTGAACATTCCACCTTGTCTTCAACGGTTTTATTCGATCACATTTAGAGTATAAGAACAAAGTGTTGCTTCTATCATTCAAAATGATAAGGACATTTTTGGACGCATCCAACGGAGAGCTACGAACCTTATGATGAGCGTCCCAAACCACTGAACCATTACCCAGTATAGAATAGGCGTCTTAGAGGTGAGCATCCCAAACACTTCTGGACATCCTCTAGAATACCTACGTAAACTCAGTCCCAACAGAAAAATTAGGGTCAACATTGAGAAACCGAAGACGCAATACAGTAGAATGGACTGTAGGTATACATTGTACTCCTTAAGTGCAGTAAAATGGTGGAATCTATTGCTGGCTGAGCTAGGCCAAGAGACTTTACGGGAGTCCTTTAAAAGAAAACTGGGTGTATTCCTAAAGTCTAAAGACAGTGTCTCGCCATAATTGATCAATTTTCACTCTTTTAGCGGTACATGCATCTAAGTTCCCACCTAGAGACAGCGGTGATCCACTGCTACAAGAAGCGCAATGTCTTTGAGTGAAAGGCTCTTCTAATCTGTTCATAAATATTTTACCAAAGTGAACAGTTCCCCAGGGAATTATCTACAGAAATAGGGCTATTTAGAGAATGATCAGAAATAAAATTACAATCACCTACTTCATTAATTATCAACGGTCTATCTATCTCCTGTGAACTGATTGTCTATCTCAATCATGAATCTTTACCGGTTGACTACTCAACCTCTTAATTATAATTTCCGTAGTGATTTCCTTAGTGCAACTGCACTTCTGATGACATTTGTTTATTGCATAAGTTAGAAGTATGAGAGAGTGAAAGAGTTTGGTCGAATCGTCTTGGGTTATTGAATAACATGCATTGTGATATTGACTTAACAAATTATCGGTGCATTTTTCTAGCTCTCATAGACTACTTGGCCTCACTGATGTGATACCACCCTTTAAAGTTCGCGCGAAATTTTCTGCTAAACTGTTAGACTGACAATGTTGTGGATTCGCAAGTATATGACGGCATCCAACCAGTAAGCCAGTTGGTAAACGTTTTCTGTAAAACGATTTTCATAGTCCGCTATTATTACACTGGGAATTTGTGACTGAATGGTTTCCTCATATCTCTTTGAGTGAATTGTCTGCTAGAACTGACCATTAGTACCACTCCTAGTCATTCGAAATATGTATCAACAATAACTAACATATAATATGAGTTAAATGGTGGGTCACGGTAATCAGCATGATTACGTTCCCTCTATTCATTTCGTGGCTTGGGAAGAATGAATAAAATTGTCTATTCAGAGGCACGAATAATCCATATGGGCTTGACATAATATCAAAAAGTCTTACGCTGTACAAAAAGCGAAGGAAAAGATCTGTTCAAGCTGTTTCTCTAGGTTAAGACCGCTTATTCCAGCAATCGGGCGGCGACAAAGCTAGATGTGCACCTGTTCACTGAAATCAGAGTTAGAAGCTCGTATCTGAAGCTGGGGTATAAAATCCACAATTGTCCTATTCGGAGTACGAACTAATCTTTTGAACTGTTTTTTTTACGTGTTTTGATTGTTACGCGAAATGATCTGTTAGTGATCTCTTTAGTTTTTTACACGGAAGCAGAATGGGTTAGAGCATTCAGGGCTAAACATACTATAGGCTTTTCTACCAAAATCAATAATAAACTGAGCTAAATTGTTATCTTCGTTGGAAGTACGTGACAACCACGGAGAATCAAATCATTCGAAATAATCTTCGATTTCTTGTGAAGACGTGTTAATTGACAATTTTTTCAATTTACTTTAATGTAAATATATATTGCGACGCCAGACGTTAATTTGAAATAATAATGCGAAATGAAACTATTCCTAAAAAGTAAATAACTTTGACAAAACACAAGCAGTGGTACCCGATAAGAAGTTGTATTGTATTCGTATGATAGGTTTGGACACAACATGAAATATATTATCGTATAGTAAATATATTTATTGTTCATCGTAAAAAGCTTTCTTCGACGACCAAGAAATCACAAATCAAACGGATCTGAAAAGGTAGGGAGACTTTAGTTTATGCTAAATCCACAGGTAGGGGTTGTCCGTTTATGCCGAAACATTATCTACGCAACGTCTTCAAAACGTTTGGCAAACGTTCTCATCCAGGTGTTCGAGCAACTATTAAACTAATGGCGGAACAATTCTGATATATTGATGTGAAACAAGTGTAAACGAATGGGAAAGTCCCTATGAGGAATGGCAAGAATATGGAGTGATTAGACAAAACGAATCTCCATTAATCACTTCCGCAACTCCTGGAGCTCATTTAGACTATGTTCACTTTGATTTCATGGGACCTTACCAGATTCAAATGGATAGTAATCTCTCTCAACGTCCGTGGACAGTTCAACACGCCTTCATCGAACGATGGATAGAACACTTTGGCTGACCTTTTAGTAGCCCTGTACCTGACTCCAACCGGATGGTATGAATGACTGCCACCGAAATGTGCATCGCAGCCACCCTTTTATATAATTATTAGTTCAATTCGCGTTATAGAATAACGGGATAAAATAAGTCAAGTTTGAGAATGATGTTTGAATACGAATATTTCGTGAAACCGTTGACCCAGACAGACGATCAGAAAAATGAAGCAAAGCAAAAAATGACACAGTGGAGAAGTCAAGTGAGTCGATTCCATTTAACCAAACATGAATCGATATTTATAGTCAAATCAAAAAACAACTTATCAGCATGGGGTTTTGGAGATTATTGAGTTTTTGATGAAGACCACGAATCGATCGATGTTAGACCACCATTGAAAACACAGAAGCGCTGGACGGCCGTTTTGTTCCAATATGAGACTCCTCAGTACTGAGTATCCAAGATCCCTGACACAAGATCCAAGCCCAGAAACTTCAGTCTCGCGCACGAACAGTCAACCTCTAGAGCACTGAGCCAGAATTCCACGGTGTTAATGTTATAGACGCATAATGAATAGGATATGTAACTAATACGTACATGATCATATGAAAATAGGGTTAATAAGAGAATATTTGATAAAGTCAAGTGTGGTTTGAGAAGGATGAATAAGTTTACCTGCAAAAGCTAGAATAATCTGCGCAGGCTTGAAATGGTACCAGCACTATACCCTTCAACTATCACTAAAGCCTGTGGACGCCAGTTTGAATCTGGAATTTTTCGCTGTCTTACTACACTACCAGGTATCACATGATTCTGAACGAGCGCCTGTCACTCATTACATACATATGTAATACTGCACCTTAGTCATATCCTTTTAATTTCACAACAAAAAGTGATGGTCAAATGGTATATATGTTTTACGCTGGATGTGCCAGAAATCCATTAACTATGAATAAAAACACTTCAAGCTAGCTGTCAAAACGACAGATCCGAGGTTTACTTCTGTCATCATACAAAACAAAATTTTATTTATTTTAACACAGTTATTGGTACAAGGAGGCACCAAACACATATGCGCAACACAGATCTCATTTGATATGTGTGAGGGCTGTGATACTGCCAGATTGCTTAAACCAAAGCAGGTGGTTTTCTTAGGGGGTCACACCCCGAGCCTTCGACCTGAAGGTCTGATCCATAAGGCAGTGGAGCAACGTAAGGAGATGCAGTCCCATGGTAGCCGGTGACCAACAATTGGTTCATACGCCATTTGTTCCTTCAGGACACTGGAGCCCATGTGCACCATTGGTTTGGAATCAGGGTTTTCCAACTCCCCTAGGTGGACTCTCCATGTCCACTAACCCGGCTAAAGCGACGGACATTCTCTTTTCGTCCTCTCAATTTCGTAAACAACACCCCTGCCACGAGAAGGCAGTGAGTAGGACTTCCCTGGCAGAGGCTATATACGCGTGGCCATGTGAGAGCATTTGGAGAGGGAGATCGGACTCTCCCCACTCCCGACCGTACCATGGTATTTGGGGGTACAAAACAAAAATATCGGTTCATGGTTTATTGGTTCTGAACATTATATGAATACATAGTGCAAACTGACTTTATACTATTTACTTTTCGAATATCTTTGTATATTTATTGAAATGTACATTATATATGAACAGGGATTACGGATCAACACAATAACAAATGATTCACTAACGAGATCAAATACATTAAGAAAAGAAAACAGTAGTAGATGACAAAGTTTTAAATACATAGTCTAATATTGTTTATCACAGAATAATTAAGTGAGAAAATAGAACAAAAAAACAAGGAAAACTTTTGTATTTATGGATAGAACCAATCAAGAAAATGTAGAGAAAATGTTAAGATTATAAGGATAAAAAGCATCCAAAATTGTACAGTTGCTTTAGAATTGATTGCTTCACGAAGTAATTCATTTCCCTGACGAATATATTCAGTAGCAGTTACAGATGAGTCAGCTATCTTTTCAGTTGTCTATAAGTAACAGTAAACAAAATAAAAGAATTGAAATTTCAACACCAGCAATAGTTAAAATCTAGAATAGAACTAAGCGAACATAATGTTAAGGAATATTGTCTAAGCGATTGTGACAAGTATAAAAAGATAATAAGATATGAATAAAGGTTATCAATGAAATCAGATTTAAGATACTATATCTTACATTTTTGTGCACATTTCATTTATCTATATGGCTAAAAAGCATTTTGGCATTGTAGCTGATAACAATTTGTAAGAAAGAACTCTAATTAGTAACCTTAAATCTCAATCCCAATTCTTCACATTAATCTCTAACTCTATTATAACCTTAGTAATTAGTTGAGGTTCTCGCAATACTACTTTATTATGACTCAAAGGTTGTTTAAAAACTATAATCTCACCGATAATAACATGTCATACGTAAGAGTGATCATTAAGACTTAATTTCCTGGTCAATGCGAAAAGATTTTTCAATGTCAACTACTTTTAGCTGTTAAGGAATAGGTTTTTTGTAAATCATTTTTAAGGGGTTTCCGAAACATTCAGGAAACTACCACTTCTGGGATGTGGATTTAGGAGACATGATACCACATTCAGATCGATATAATGTTACGCTAGTCGAAAGCGTAGTATATATGTGAAATAATCTTGCATAACTATAAGCTATCTATTATGCATTAACATGAAATACAATTTGTTTACATTAGATAATACAGCAAGTGTATCCAAAACCCTTTAATAAACAGTTGAAAAAGAATTTTCCATTTTAATTGTAATCGGTTAATTATTTTACTGCTTAGAGAAAATAATTTTCTCGAAGAATATTACATAAACTGATGACAGGATGGTCGCCAAGCAGAATCCAGGTTAGAGTTTTGTACCACAGACTGAGTGACGTAACCAACGATGCATCTAGACTTACTTACTTACGCCTGTTACTCCTCGTGAAGGAGCATAGGCCGCTCACCAGCATTCTCCATCCAACCCTGTCCTGGGCAATTCTTTCTAGCTCCGTCCAGTTGTAATTCATCGTTTTCATATCTGCTTCTATTATCCGACGCAATGTGTTCTTTGGCCTTCCTCTTTTTCGCTTCCCTTCAGGATTCCAAGTTAGGGCTTGTCTCGTGATGCAGTTTGACGATTTGCGTAATGTATGTCCTATCCATTTCCATCGTCTTTTCCTAATTTCTTCTTCAGCTGGAAGTTGGTTTGTTCTCTGTTGCTATTGCTGATGGTATCCGGCCAATGGATGTTGAGTATCTTGCGTAGACAGTTATTTATAAATACTTGTACGTTCTTGATTGTGGTTGTTGTAGTTCTCCAAGTTTCAGCTCCATACAGTAGAACTGACTGCCTTGACGTTCGTATTGAAGATTCTCACTTTGATATTGGTTGAAAGTTGTTTTGAGTTCCATATGTTCTTCAATTGTAGGAAAGCGGCCTTTGCTTTGCCGATCCTCGCCTTTACGTCTGCATCGGATCCTCCTTGTTCATCGATGATGCTTTCCAGGTATGTGAAGGACTCTACATCTTCCAGAGTTTCTCCATCAAGTGTGATTGGATTGCTGTTCTCCGCTTTGAATTTGAGGACCTTAGTTTTCCCTTTGTGTATGCTGAGGCCTACTGATGCAGAGACTGCTGCTACACTGGCTGTCTTCATCTGCATCTGTTCGTGTGTACGCGATAGGAGGGCTAGGTCATCTGCGAAGTCCAAATCGTCTAATTGATTCTGAGCTGTCCATTGTATTCCGTGTTTTCCTTCAGATGTTGAGGTCTTCATAATCCAGTCGACCACCAGAAGAAAGAGGAAGGGAGAGAGTAGACAGCCTTGTCTGACTCCGGTCCTTACTTGGAATGCATCTGTCAGCTGTCCTCCATGCACTACTTTGCACTGTAGTCCGTCGTATGAGTTCCGGATAATATTGACGATCTTCTCAGGAACTCCGTAGTGTCGAAGAAGTTTCCATAATGTCTTCCTATCTACACTGTCAAATGCTTTTTCATAATCAATGAAGTTGATGTAAAGTGATGAGTTCCACTCAACTGATTGTTTGACGATGATCCGTGGTGTTGCAATTTGGTCTGTGTATGACCGATCCTTACGGAATCCAGCTTGTTGATCTCGAAGTTCGGCGTCTACTGCATCCTTCATCCGGTTCAGCAAAGCTCTGTTAGAGACTTTCTCTGGTGTTGACAGTAGTGTGATGCCTCTGTAGTTTTCACATTTGCTCAGATCTCCTTTCTTTGGAATCCTGACGAGGTGTCCTTCTTTCCAGTCCATCGGCACTTGTTCCTCCTCCCAAATCTTTTTGAATAGAAGATAAAGCATGCTTGTGGTTGCTTCGATGTCTGATTTCAGTGCTTCAGCTGGTATGTTGTCGGGTCCCGATGCTTTCCCGGTCTTGATTTGTCTGACGGCCATTCTAATTTCTTCCGTAGTTGGTGGATTGACATCTATAGGAAGATCTGTGTGTGCTGCTTCGATGTTCGGTGGATTCATTGGAGCCGGTCTATTCAGGAGCTCTTCGAAGTATTCTACCCATCTGTTACGCTGTTGTTGAATTTCGGTGATTGGCTTGCCTTCTTTGTCTTTGACCGGCCTCTCTGGTTTACTGTATTTCCCTGATAGTTTCTTCGTTGTATCGTAAAGCTGTTTCATATTTCCTTCTCTAGCAGCTTTTTCTGCCGTCGTTGCTAGTTCTTCCACGTATTTCTTCTTGTCGGCTCTAATGCTCTTCTTCGCTTGCTTGTTTGCTTCTATGTATTCAGCTTGTGCTTGTACTTTCTCTGCTCGTGTTCGGCTGCTGTTAATTTCTATCTTCTTTTTCTTCCTTTCTTTGATCCTGTCTAGAGTTTCTATAGAGATCCACTCCTTATGATGCTGTTTCTTTAGGCCCAGAACCTCTTGACACGTTGAAGTTAATGCTTCTTTGATGCCTTTCCAGTTGTCCTCCATAGTAGTTTCTTCTTCCTTCAGTAGATCTTGTAAGGCTTGGAACCTGTTGTTGAGAGCTATCTTGAATTCACTAAGTTTGTCCACTTGTCCAGTTCTTTTTTAGCTTCAGTTTCAAATTGGCTACAACTAGGTGGTGATCTGAAGCTACGTCAGCACCTCTCCTGGTTCTCACATCTTCCATTGTCCTTCGGAACTTTTGTTGATGCAAATATGATCTATTTGGTTCTCTGTAGTGTGGTCCGGTGAGATCCATGTAGCCTTGTGTATACGCTTGTGTGGAAATATTGTGCCTCCTATGACTAATTTGTTGAATGCACACAAATTTGCAAATCTTTCTCCATTTTCGTTTCTAGAGGCCAGCAAGATTAACCAACAGTTGGGTCAAGATAACCTTGACTCGTGATAGTTTATCTATATGCAACTCCTCTATAATCCAGTTCTGAGTCCGGATAAGAGAGCGTAAAACATAAGCTCCTACCTCTGCATTTCAAGTATGCAGTATATTTATCTTAAACACTCTAAATGAAATATCAGACCGCAACATACTACAAATAAGAAATCATACTTAAATACAATTATGTCATAATCGGCAGAGAAAAGAGCGACGGGTACATAAATAATTAATGATAACTAAAGAATGATAAAAAGTATAACACTGGTTGACAGACCCTACCAAAGTTCACAATACTGGAAGTATAAAAGTATCAAAAGGAAGTTCAATATTTACACAACAAAAACAAAGATAGTAATAGTCCGAAAATTACAGCATTCTCAGTATTCGCTTCTTCATAAAAACCATAGTAATGCATATTCATTGAACATCAATGAGTAGAAATAAAAAATAAAGCGAATTGAAACCTGCCACATTTATGGATCTGTTCAAATTGTCATGCTAGAAGTAACCTATTTACCGACTACGGATATATATATATATATATATATATATATATATATATATATACGCGGCTTCAAACTCCACTCTAAGTGTGACGGCTAGTAAAACTACCCAGTTGACCAAACCGAAGTAGATGGAGCGTGATTTAGATCTGAAACGAAACTATGTGAAAGTTAAATGCTCTAACCAGTAATCTACAGATCCTATCCAAAAGAATGTTGTACTCATATAACTTTACCTCTAATTGTTCCATAAGATGTTCTGATAGTGTTTGGTTTAGGTGACCAATTTCGGAGATTTTTTTAGCTACTTGATGCAGTTCATCTTTTTCTTGCGTAAAATGTTGATAGAGTATTTGATTTTCAACTTCAAGTGTACGTAATTCATTTTCTGTGAAATTTTCTTCTTGTCGAGATTCATGATAGTTTAAAACATCATTAGTTTTATTAATATCCTTATTATTACCACGTCTTCTTAACTTTGTATCACTGTTATCATATTTGTTGGAACGCTTTAAATAGGCAGTAACATTTGCACCAGAAGCGGCAACAGAACGTACACCAGTAGCAAGATTGCCTGAAAACTCGATGAGACGTTGTTGTCTCCTGATCTACGTAAGGAAATAACGAAATATTAAAGAAATTCAGGTGCAACAGAATAATGGAAGCTTGAGTGATTAGATTTTGAGCCCCAAAGTTTGTGTATGAACTAGAAATAAATAACCAGATAGGGTCAAACAGAAGTGGGAGTAACAGTACATCAACTTGTAACCGACTGGCTACAATGCGAGCCTTTAACCATTTAATTGTTTTTACTTGTTAAAATGCACTTTCTTACACAACTTACTAGATATGATAGTTAGCGACATTATTTGGCTATGAAAAATCGCATTATTTGCAAAAATATTAATTTATTTAAACATGCAAACGAAAAGTCGTTACTAATTTGTATGTGGAAAGACATGACACAAATAAAAATTAGCACATCAAATGTTTATAACTGCCAAAAGAGTATGAATAACATAATTTTACTTATAGAAGAAAACAAGATGTCTCAACTAGTAGACCGTACACCATAAAATGGATAAGGTCAACTATCGCTTACTATCTTAGAATGTAAAAATACGTACATATCTTAAAAGAATTTGAAATTAAATAGCCTAGCAACTTATAATACATTGTTTGCAATTTCACCTACAAGAGATTATTCTCCGCTGAAATCGTTTAGTGGTAACATTTCCGACCATGAAGCTTGATGATCCAAATTTGAATCTCATAAAAAACATGGGTTTTCACAAGACTGCAGGTTCGCATTGATGGCGTGTATTAAATAGAACGAAACTTAGGTGCAGGGTTTCTGGAGGATTTCTTTTAAACTGCATAATACCAATCCATATTTTACTGCTATAGGTAGGTATATAAGGAGGATAGATAAACGTTAGCAATATCCCAAAAAAATTTCTTTTTCATGACTTATAAATTCCTATCTCCATGAGTCTACTTGTATCTTACTGTACTGAGGTACTTCATAAATGCAAACAATTATATCATAATCAACCAGGATGTATAATCTGATTGATTTATAATTAACAATGGACGCTTTTAATCCTTTTCATTTCAAACTGTCAGAGTTGAAACAATACTTTACATATTTTTCTTTACGAGTCAGAAAGTAGTAAAAATCTTGTGGTGTCTTGTGTTATTCACCGAGATTACACACCTTATCTGTTTGATGAATGTTTTAAAAAGAGACAAATATGTGACAGTTTGATGTAGCATTACAATAATTTGAATTATTTTATATTTGCTCATAATTAAATATGAACTTTTACCCATTTACAACGTGTACATGTCACTATTGATTCGTAAAGATTGTACATTTTCCAGCTTTATATGTGCATGTCGGAACTCTATGGAACACATAGTAGCAACTGTTAGATTTCACAATATCTCTTTGATAAAGAGTATAATGTAAGACAATGATATCAAAATGATGAATACGACATTCGTAGAAACAACTTCTTTGAGAGATGAGATCTAGCCGACTCCATGTCTCTAAAATAATTCAGTGTCTAATCCTAAACATTTGCCTTGAAATTACAATATTTAATAAGTTTTTTGAAACTTAATTATGACTAAAGGTGAATGAGTCCTAATACCATCAAATATTTATCAGACAACATTCTCATCATTTTATATGACAAAAGTCACCATATCAAACATACAAGACACATCAATACAAACATCTATTACATTTTCTAACACTTCAAATTATTTAGAACTGTTCAGAACGACTGTTAGGTGTTTGGAAGCAGCCAAAAAATGATGTGGGATTTATGTTGACTGGAAGTTACCGGTAAGGCGTATGTGGGATGTTGAAGGGTTGAATGTTTATCGTGAGATTCCAATCTGATACGACATCTAAGAATACGGCCTGATATCAAAGTACTAAAGGATTGAAGAGTGAGTAGCCTACAAACTAATTTCCTGAGATTCCCTACACGGTCTTATCATATTTATTTTGTCCCCGTTTTTTAATGAAGGTATGGCATTTTAAAGAGTTAAAGACTGGTTCTTTTAGGGTTATATATATATATATTCATTAAAATACTCTACTTTCCATATTTTATCGCGCGGCGGATTATCGTTAAAGTGCATAGATACTTCAGTACATCCAGTTCGCATAGGTCTAGTCTCGTATTAGAAGAACTCGATTGTTCCTAATTGAGAAATACCGAACCCAAACATAATTCACAATAGAACTTGGGCAACAAAATCACCACACTGTCGGGACATTTAGCCAATTGATCACCATCTATACTTGATTGACAGGATTAAATTGGTGCTAAGGATCAAACCACGGGATAAAGGATGCAATTCAGCAATCGGCTGGTAAAACAACATTTATTCAGAAATTCTGTATATTATCTTCTGTGTAGTATGAAATTATACACCTAAGTATACAGTTTTGACTAACGAAGAAGAAAACAGTTAAACCTGCAGAATGACAAATTACTTAAATCGAGGCACTTCAAAACACAACAACTGCAAATTGTAGCCCAGTAGAATGAAAACGTCAATGATAGATAAGATAGAATTCGGTATAAATACGGAACAGCTTAAAGGTAGATAGAGACAGCCAGTTAAAAGCAAAGCGACCACTAGTATAGCGAGCTAGTTTAAGGCTTGTGGAATGGCTAAGAAGCTGACCTTTTAAATTATGTAAGCCATGATAATGTTGCCCAAAAAGACAATAAAAGCAATCAAACCATTTATACCACAGAACTTATCAACGCCTAAAACATTCACCTGAACTACAAATGCTCTCTATCAAACGGTCCAACTTGTTACAATTTATATCAGTAAAACAAAGAAGGAAGTTAAGTAAGTGAAAAGAGTTGAAGTAAGAATGATAGTGAAAAATTGAACATACATATACTCAACAAATAGTCAAATCGATATATTGGTAAAAAAAAACTCACTTCGCTTTCACGAATCTTTTTCAAAGAATCCAATTCTTCACTTAGTAGTTTATGAATTGTTAAACGATGTGATATAAGTTGATTATTATTATTATTAATATTCGAATCATCATGAATTGAAGTTTTGCTTTGATTAATATCTTTTGTAGTATGAATTAGATCTTTTAATTGTGTTAACAATAAAGTACATTGTTCAATCAAAACAGTGACATTTTCAGTTAATTCAGCGTGTAAACGTTGTTTAGTTGAATTACCTAATGTACCAGCTGTTAGTTGGTGAATACGTTTTAAATAATTTGATAAAACTTTAAGACTTGAATGAAGACTTTCAGCACGTGTCTGAAAAGAAAATTCATAACCAGTAGGTGAAGTTTTCTCTCTCCTCTTCTCTTCAAAAGTGGGTGATAATTCTGGAATTGTTGGTCTTATGGATGAAACGAGTGATGTAAATAATGGAGAAATATCACGGGACATTATGATGGTGAGGATTGATCATTGATCATAAGTTGATATCTAAGCAAATCAAAATGAAATGTATAAAAATTTATTTTTAAATAAGACTAAACTGATGCTATAATCAAACAGGTATTATCCAATCTAGGAACGGTCAAATAAAGATGTGGCATCAATCTACAAGTTTATTGATTGTTGGTAGATGCAGACTACATTTTTGAGGTCTACTGGCTTGTTGCGACTAACAGCTTATGTTGGGTGAAATGACTACGAATCAGTTAAAATGCATATGTTCTTTGTATTTCTCTAGAACCCACAACGAGTTAAAATCGTTGTGGTAGATCCCAGAGTATTAGTGGCACCTTCTCATTGCTTTTTTAAAACAATGTTCTCATTGTTTAATCTTCATCCTTATCACTACTATTATACTGTTTCGATTTCTTTGATAATCATCCGGTTAATTTCATCGCACCTTGCTTATATAGGTACATCAAAATTAGGTTACGTTGGCTTTCACTTTAATTATGACGAACTGAAGAATTATTTAGTTATTTAACGAAATTAATATAGACGGAACAGATGATATGTAGTTCATAATTTAATTACGGTGGTCTAAATGTTTAGACAATCTTTAATAAATGTGCCTAAAAATCTAGTATTAACAAACTCAGAAATAACTTCACATCTCTCTAATTCCATTCGTGAAGTATGTTTACAACTAGTTTCCGATTATTAACTATTAGTCGATCAAACTCGATCTAACTCAGAGAAAAAAAAACTCCACCTAAATCAAAAAGTTACTCATAGTGTAGAATGATACACCATGCTTGATCTGACAAAATTGTAAAGTTTGTTGGCAATACAATAAAAAAATACTTTAACACATCAGGCAATTAATTATAAATCAAAATTTCACAAGGGGACAAATATAAGCACGAATTTTATTTATGTTACAATAAGATAGTTAACATTGAATTGAAAAAAAGGAATAAATCTAGAATACAGGTTTACAAATCTCTTTTTACAATAAGTGGTTATACTTTTCCAATGACATGACTAGTTCCAGCAACAAGACCGGTATCATCAGCACCAACAATATTGACATCGTTACTATTATTAGTAGCTTGTAGATGACTCTCACTGGCAGCATAATCAACAACCATAGTTTCGTCTGGTTCCGGTCGTTCCATTAAATAAACACGACATGTAGAATAATTTTCGAAAAGCTATGAGGATTAAACAAAACAGGGACTTATTAAAGAAAAGGAACTACTAGTGGAGGAAAAGTATTATTGATTAAAAAATTGATATAATCACAACTGTTACAGAATCTAGCAGATATAGATGTTTGTTTGTTCTAGTTGATATGCCATCATATCACGATTAGAAAAAGTTGAAGAGATGAAAAACAAAGGAATTGGATTAAGCTGTGTAAATAAGTACAAACTAATTAGTTGGGGTCTACTCGATTATTGTAAACAAATGTTATATATGTTGAATGACATGGCTCAAAATCAGTCAGAATAGTGCATAAACATTTACTTTTTGTCATAAAATACTTATACTTCTTGTTTTCTAAACTCATTCTATTTTTGAGTCATACTATCTATTGACTAATTTTCTATATCACTAATAATACTTGTAATTGAGAACATGAACCGATCAACTTTGGACCAACATTGAAGACCTGGAAACACTGGACTGCTGTTTCGTCAAAGTGTAGGACTCCTTAGCAGTACGCATCCACGACAGTTAGTAATTCTACTACTCTGGCATTCGTTTTGATAATTTCCACTTAACTGTGCCGATGTGGTATGGGAATTATAACAGACGAAAATTTGTGCCAGGCACTACGTAACTTATGACTGAGAAAAGGAGTACGAATATTAGTAGTATCAATGATGGTAAGAATTATTAGATGTAGGGAGTATGATTCAAAAAGAAGGAGGGATGTGATTGGTCAAATTAAATATTTTTCATCCAACAAACTGATTGGTTGTAATATATATACAGTTGAAAGTCCTATGATTACTTCGATTCATGAAAACCGTCACCATAAGTCTGTTTAAAGAGTTGATTGTAACTTGAGTCAAAACTTACTAGTTGGATTGTTTTACAACACACTTGTAAATTATATGACAGTATCATGTATGTCTTAGTTGTATGGATTAATGAATAAACAGCTAAAGTTTCTGTAATCTGATATTTCATTGCCCATAAGTAATCTTTAGTGAATTTTTAGCTGTTCATCCATATGAGAGCCAATAAATCTTCATTTATACCAATTTTTTACTTCGCGTTATAGGAATTGCAGTGATACCCGCTCTCAAGTATATAAGCAGTAGGACCGCGGATTTATCACAACCGACACCCACATAACAGAAGTCACTCTAAACATAACAAAAAGATCTTGATATTGTTTGACCATGAAACGTTTTCTGACTAATACCGGAGATCAGGTATCGAATAAACTTAGTACATGTGATGTCAAGTCATTTAGATTAATAACTAAACTAAAACATGATCGATATAATCAGATCAGCAATTACAGGATTACACTGAAAGAGGAGTCAGTTGTGGATACCTCATCTCAGTGGGAGGTCTATTTCAGCCCGTATAGTTCAATGATGACATCGACTGTGAGATTGGGAGGCGGGTTCTAATCTCACAGGAGGTACAAGCTCATTGGAAATTGAGGATACGTCTTGTTGACAAGTGACAGCTAGTATGGAATCCAGGTCGAGCAGGGCGTCCTGCCAACTACCTGATATCAAAAGAATAATGCATGCGACGTCGATTCACCTAAACTAGTGACCAAACTTCAATCCGGTCAACAGAATTTCATCAGAACTAAAGAAATAGACAAATATAAAATGCATCACTACTTATCGATCAGTCAGTTTCGATGAGTGTATTGATGGCATGAAGATTCACAGTTCGAATATTTTCAATAACCATGAAATCAGTTACAATCTACTGGATAATTGAAAAGAAAAAGTACGAATCTTACAACAAAAACAATTGAACGATCACCATTAGTTGTTAATTTAATAGCGTGCCACGGTAATGCTTCAATATTTCCGCTTGTAATGAATTCAGATAGATTTTTTCTTGGTCTGAAAATGAACATTTAAGAATATTGAGCAAAACAAAACAATGTAGCTAGTATAGTAGTTATGAATATCAGTTTAACATGACTACACTAAGATGGGAAAGTTAGACAAAATTGAAATATTTGCAAATAATTTACTGTTTCATAGTTCTCGTGGTGTGTACGATACTTGGAATCTATTGATCTGGAACTCGACAGTCTGTATTTAAATCTAGATCCCGTGATCGAGTGTTTTTCCCCAAATCGAGCAGAAAAGCTAACAAATTCCTGGGTCGATTGAAAAATTGGTAGCAATAAATGTTGGAAATGGATAGGACATACGTTGAGGAAATCATAAAACTACGTCATGAGATAAGCGCTAACTTTGAATCTTGAAGGAGAACGGAAAAATAGAAGACCAAGGAACATATTGCGTCGGGAATCAGAAGCAGGCATCAAAAGAATGGAGAGCAAATGGAGGCAACTGGAAAGGATTGTCCAGGACAGAGCTCGTTGTAGAATCCTAGTGGGTGGCCTATGCTCTTTCACGAGGGGTAACAGACACAAATAAGTATTTTTCTTTAAATCCTTGCTTGTTGACTAATAAATTCTTTCAGTTAACAGAATATTAAAAGGGGCTATTCCATCTTCACATCCCCATTCGCCTGTAAATTTAATCACCGAGTGTACCTCATTAAATTGCCGAAGAACCTCTAAATGTAGTGTATTATATTTACAAGTGATGAATATGTCATCCATATGTTGATGGTAAAATGTGAACTTTTGAATAAGCCGTTTATGTGAATCATTCTCTAGTTCATTAAAAAAAATTAGTTGAAATAAGGACTAAAAGTAAATCCACAGTGATTCCATCCATTATCTATAGATTTCGCTGTTCAATACGAAATTCACATTTGTTGTAGATTTTAGTACTAAATCTTGCATTCACCGTTGCTAGGTCCCACATAAGATAACGTTTTAGTAAATAAACTAGGAAATGATCCATATAACTAGTTTACTTAAAAGTTCAGATTTTACTGTCGATATGTGGATGTCATATTCATCATTCGTAAAGATAATACATCGCACAGTTTAATCCACGGATCGATCTAAGTTAGACCACCATTGAAAACCTGGAAGCTGAGAAGTGTCATACAAGAACGAAACATGCGCCTAGTGCTTCCAGGTTTTAAATGGTGGTCTAGCTTAGATCGACTCGTGAAAATACTACAATCTCCACAAATCCCCATACTGATAATACATTACAACTAGAGATTCTTCAGCAATTTAGTGAAGTACACTCGACTATTAAGTTCACAGGTGAAGCACAACGTGAAAGTAGAATAGCCTTTTAGGAAGAACTTATGGATCAACAAGCAGAAATTTAATCAAAATACTTGGACAGGGCATGACACAGATTTTCTTACCTTTTTATTTTTATAGTACAAGAAAAACTTGATTAAAACACTTAGTAATCTAATAAGAGCCATATGATCGACTGATATAGTTGAACAGGAACTAAATACCTTGAATTATGCTCTTGTATAAAACGGTTATCGTGGGGAGTCTATAGAGAAATATATGATCAAAACATTTTGTGTAGTAGAAGTATGAACCACTCCATACACTATGTAGTCATCCATTAAACATCTGATCTGACTTGTAATGAAATCAATTACCTGTATACAGGTTTCAAAGAATGATAATTAACTTACAAATTAGTGTGAATTGATTCATTGACAACTGAAGCAATTGTATTCGTTTGTTTTAATGATTCTCCATTAAAATTTTCAACACTATTCAATACATCACGAATCGGTACCATAACAAGCCAACTATGCATTAAATCACTGCTCGTTGATGTTAACGACGATAATTCACGATTCAACAAAGTTTCATCAATTTTTATACTATTCACATTTATTTTAGGTGATGATCGAATCGATGAAACTTTATTGTGCTTTGAACGACGAGATACAATTAGTAGAAGTATTTGAGATGAATAAAACTGCATATCTTGTAGTTCGTATGGCCTAGTAGTATGTATATAAAGAATAATACACCACAACAGTCAATATTATGTATATTCTGATGAGAATACATTTTTGTAATCTTACAAAATTAACAAAATATACAACTCGATGTTCAACATTTTAAATTAATTTAAGTTGAAATAAACCAAGCCAATTCATAAGATACATATTAAAAACAGTGGATGAAGACCTAATTATTTACGCCTGTTACCCCTTGTCGGGGAGCATAGGCCGCCCAACAGCATTTACCATCAAAGACTCAGAAAGAATAAATTTACTGATGACCATGAATATGAAAGAACATAAGTTTTAATTTACGAGATATACCACGTGTATAGCTAGCCAAGATTTAAAACATTTTTACTTTGAAATTCCTATTCAATCAAAGAATATAGCCATGACTAGTGCATACTCTGATAGGCCATCAAACTGGAATACATTGATAAGTCCATTTTCAACCAGTCAGTGCTAGTAGACGAATCAAGATGCTACAAAATTTTCATGTAAATTTAACATAAACTTTATTGCTTTTATAACTGTGTCTTTGTTGTTCAGTTTATCATAATGTATGTATTATTTGATTTTCGTTTTAATTGTGGAAAATTTGAATAAATTATTGTTATTAGACAGTAAAGGAATATAATGGTTTTTCATGCTTGAATTGTTAAGTGTATTTTAATAAAACACATGAGTTAAGTTGTTAAACAAAAACTGTCATCAAATAAACTTTATTTATTTATTTGAACACATAATCAATGGTACAAGGAGACACCAAATATATATGCATCACACTTAGTCATACGATCTATGTGAGGACTGGGCACCCAGATCGAAGCAGGTGGTTTTCCTAGGGACCACTCTTCGAGTCTTTGACCTAGAGGTCTAATATACAAGGCAGGAGATGTACTCCCTTGGTAACCCATGACCAACAATGGGTTCATATACCAACTGTTTCACCAGATTCTTGCAGACCATGTACGCCACTGGTTTGGAATTAGGGTTTAACCGATTCCCCCCATATACACCAACCCGGTTGCAGCGCCAGACACTCGCTTCTCGTTCTCTCAATTTCGTAAACAACAACCCCCGCCACGAGAAGGCAGTGAGTAAGATTTCCCTGGCAGTGACTATACACGCGTGGCCATGTGAAAGCATTTCGAAAGAATGGACTCTCCTCACCATCGGTCGTACCAGGGCATTTGTAGGCAATATCAAATAAACTACGTAAAGGACGATAAATATCTGTTTGTCTAATTAGTCTTGTTGAGAACGACTTTAACAAGGGACTTTTTTATTATTTACGTATATTTTTGAAAAAATTGATGAATCGCTTGAAAAACTACTAAACATAAAAGAAAAAAATTGTTTGACATACACAAAACACAGTTCTATAAATAATTTAAGGAAAATTTAGAACTGCTTAACCAAAGGGTTACTGAGTAGTTCCTGATATTATGGAACTAAAGAGCACAGTAGTTGAGAATGTTCATATTAGGTTTTTAGGAATGCAAACAGAACTTTATAATATACTGTCCAACAAATAGCAAACATGAAAATTCATATTAAAAAGGACTCTTACAGACTGATTGCTTATTGAAACAATGATAAGAAAAGTCTCGCAATTATTTTTATCATACTCTACAGTGATACTTAAATCTCTGCAATGAAGTATTAAATCCATTTTTTTAAAAAAAACTTACAAATTTGCAGGATTAGTATCCCCAGGTATTGCATCCAAAAACAATTCAACACCATTGATAATTCTAAAATGATATACGAGAATAATGTAAATACATTATGAGTAAGCATAAAGTTTCGATTGTAAATGTTCAGTCATTCAGAGAGTATCGAATAGTCAATCACTAACAATGATATTATATGGTATGTGTTATATTGTGAATCGGCTGAACTATAATGTTAACCATTGGAATTTTCATTTATTGACAGTAACAAACATGTTTTACAACTGTTTCTTTTTTTAAAAAAAAGATACGATTCCTTGATATATATTATTTATTAACAACACATACGATCGACTATCTTCAACTACTTAGCATGAACACACTCTACATGCGATATCGACTCATTTGAACCAGTGAACAGATTGAAACTTGATTGACAGAATTTGATCAGCATTAAGGACTAGATAAACATAACATTATTTACCACCAAATGATCAATCAGTTTAAATACTTTGATCCAACTGAAAGTATATCATTCGCAACTCATGGTAACGTTTTTAAACTATGAAACTGAATCAATCAAAGAGCATCAAATTCTCTGAAAATCACAGGTACAACTAAAATGGCGAGTTTCAACTAGTAGAAAAAAATTAGTTTGAGTACAACTTCCTGTTAATTACCAAACATTACACATAATAAATATCATAATAAAATGCATAGGATAAAAAAAGAAGAGAAAAACTAGAAAGAACACTTGAAACATACTTAAATTCAGATTTATTACTACTATTATTATTTAATTCGATTGTAAGAAGTGAATTAAAACCTGATTTTTCATCACCAATAGTATAAGCCATTAAAATTGTTCTTGATTTATTATTATTATTCTTTAAAACGGTTTGTGAAGATTTCATTTCACCAGATTCTTCAAAACAATTAATAGTTGTAAAATGAATTCCAGAATTGAATAAATTTGATGATCTAAAAACGAAAGAAAGTATCATATCATGAAGAGTAAAATTTACAAAAACGTTAGATATTAACACAATTGGATGCCGGCGATGACGATTTAACTGAAAACAATTGTTCGCTTACATGTGTTGTTCTAATTTTCATAATGGAAATCTTTAATATTCTTAAACAATTACCGATAAGTAATAAACAGTGGTAAAATAATGGATGATTCTTGATGTAATCATAATATATGTTCAACTGTAAAAAAATCCTTTAATGTGTACACACTAATTGGTCAAATGACATTATACATTGATGAACGCTAGCACACAATGAATATAGCGTGATACAATACGTAATCCAAACGAATATTTGTTTCAGTGTATTCTGAAATTTGAGTAATATAATTCATTTAGTAAGTACAGTTACATTTAGTCTTTTCTGGGTTACAGTTTCTTAAGTGGCAAGTGATGTAACTCGATCGCTCAGATCAGATTAGCGACTGCCCGTTTCAAATCTGTGATGTAATGTTTAAAAAACCGAATGATTTGACCATTAGACTATCAGAAGGGGTTTTGTGGAGACTTTTAGTAATATCAATAGTTGAAATCATGAGTCAATTGAAGCTAGACCACCATGGAAAACTTGGAGGTACTGGACGGCCGTTTCGTCCTACCACCAGACTGCTCAGCAGTGCACATCCACGGTCCCAACCCTCGCGAGATTCGAACCAAGGACCTATCAGTTTCGCGCGCGCGAGCGCTTAACCATTAGACCACTGAGCCGGCCGGCATACAACGGCGTTAATGTCTAACTTCAACCAATCCACGAAATCACACCAACGTCTACCATTGTCACCAGTGAGTTATTATCTTGCAACAGACCCGATTGAACTCCATTGGTCACGGCTTCTCACTAGAACTCCAGGAGTGTCTCTTGAAGTCAGTCACTAGTGAGCAGATGATTATTATCAGAAGGGGTTTTGTGGAGATTTTAGTAATATCAATAGTTGAAATCAAGGGTCAATTGAAGCTAGACCACCATGAAAAATCTGGAAGCACTGGACGACTGTTTCGTCCTAGTATGGGGCTCCTCTGCTATCATCATGACCACCAAAGCTGGTGTTAGATCTATCGAAGCGTCCAAGTCACTCTCAAAACAACGACTTGTCTACAATAGCGGTTCTTTATTGAATAATACAAAATAATTAGTTACAAACCTCAAATCGTGAGGTGTCTGAGGTAAAGTAACTATTATGATAAATACAATGTTAAGTACAATAAACGTTATAAGTATATGTAAATATTTCAGAATATTACACAACTTGAATTACAACATAAGTCTAAAAATTGCTGAAAGTGAAACTGCTTACTGAATACAAATAAGTAGTATAAAACAATGTACAAAAGAGTGGAAGAGAAGAGAGTAAGAACAATGTAAAACCAACTTAATAGTTGGTCACAATTTCATTGTAGAGGAATAATTAAAGGGAACTATTTCCTACACAATATGCCAGTTGATAATTAGCACTACTGAACAGATGAGTCGAAATGTAAATCATAATATATTCATATCTGAATTGATGAGATTTAAAATGTTTATTAGTTAGAAACATAAGTGACAGAATTCATTAACTAGTGTTGTTTTTTCTATACACTTCTTGACTAACTTAAATCGAAGATTTTTGAATGTTCCTCACTGTGAAGATAGCTTAGTTAAGAGCTGAAAAATTCCATAGCTTTTTAATCCTTCCTAGTTTTTAATAGCTTGTCAATTTAAATTTAATTCATGACCGAAATTATTTTACAAATGGATTCATATAGATGATTCCGAAATACGTGATGCAGTCGGAATAAGGAGGGATTGCAAGAATGATGTCATTAGATGATGATAAAACCAATATTGTTTAGGAAAGTGTTGCTTCTTTGTTTTCTTTTGGATGGATAAGTTTGGGTTGAAACGTTTAATGAGTATAGTTTCGGGAAATTTGAGAAGAATGTAATTCGACAATCGATTGATCCTGAAAGATCTCACTCTATCAACCTAATGGTCTGTGTCACAAAGGTGTTCAACAACAGTTCGATGATTCCTTGTCTGATTATCCAGAATCTATCAGAATGGGGATTTGTGATAATTGCAGAGGAGTGCCATACTACGACGAAAAGGCCACCCAGTACATTCAGGTTTCCAATAGTGGTCTAGATTGAGTCGACCTATGAATTCATCTATTAAAATATGCAGAATCTCTCACATATTATATTCATGTGCAGCACTCTGTATATATCTTCAACCTCATTGCTCAACCGTGATGATAAATATCCAGGTTACCGTGATAAGCATTTAAACTTTATGTTAATTTAATAAAAAGATGGAAAAAAACTCAATGAATGAAAATTGTGATACCTCTATTGTTGAACGGGTACTTTTATAGAAACTAAGACATCATAAAATAATTCAACATATTTGTAAATAATTGCCAGTATTTAAAAAATGACATTTTAAAGTGTACTCAGTGGATTAGTACAGTTGAATAGGCTATGCACACAACATACATTAAAGAGATTACTTACTCTCCTGTTAATAAGATTTGCCGAGTTTGACAACTGATTTCTAGGCAACCACGAGTGGTATTTATATTCTGGCAAAAATTAAACAAGAAGAAAACGAGATCAAATGAACTTAGTGTGAATTATTAAACAAATTCCGATTCAAATACAAAAGAAACAGAAACTGACTATTTCGTAGAAAGTAAATGAGGACGCCTCGGATCGGTTTCAAAACTTGCTGAACAGGAAATGAATTGTTAAACACGAATTGTCAATCACCTTGACAATGGTTTCCATGTTATGTTGTCATTTATGAATTGAAATTGTTAATTCAAAAGTATTAGTTGTTTCATACAAATACAACCGTCCAAAGAAATCTCATACAATTTATGATAACATTTGAATTATGGCTGAACATATATACATCATTAGAGAAGCGTTATTAACAAATCTAACATGCATTTTAGTTTTTGGTTGACGTAAACTATCATTAGGTATTGTACCATCGTCGGAATTACACTCATTCGAAAGCGACCGCTATTTAATTTATCCCTTCCGAACAACTTACCATCAAATACAGATCAGAGAGATCCAGAACACTTATTTAAAGTAACGTGCTTGTTGTATCTTGTTATTAGGGTTTAATACGACTTACGATGTTACAGATTTAGGGACGAAAACGATTGAGCTACTCTAATACGATCGGTTCTCATCGGAACTCATAACAGTCAATTATACTCAACACATCAAACCTCAACGGCTAAGACAGGAACAAGACGGAATTACAGGTAACTTGATATTGTGGTAGAACAAGCAACTGAAACGAAATTGGTACAAAAGTTCTTACTATAGTGGCAGAATATGACCTTCGAGCATGTAGCAATTTAGCGAACTAAAAAAATATGACAACCAATCAGACGGCAAAGGTCATGGGGAAAATCAAACTGGTAAAAAGTGTGCGAGCAGTTATCGTTCCTGAAGAGATTTTAGGCTTTTTAATAAAATTCGACTATACTTGCGACCGCCTTAGCAGTGCTATACACTTTAGGTTTGAAAATAATAATAGTTTTATTCAAAACTATATGGTCGGTACACTAGGGAATTTCCAAAATAACATATTTGAACGACTTATTCATTTACATTGTAAATACAATGTATACAGTGACAACTGCAAATCTATACAATCATCGTCACTATTACAGTAGTTAGTCTGAACATACTAATATCACTCATACCAATAGTCAATGATTTTATGAAATAATACCGTGTCCTGATTTGCTTGCCTTTTCCAACCTTTTCCTGTGTCAACTGACATTGCGAATCTTGGTTGGAGGATGTGGTAATGAGGAATAAATGTCCACGCTACCTAAGATAAAAAAAATACTCACACTAATCGATTTGCCGTCTTTGGCTATCACTCCACGTCTAAACCAAAGATTGCTAACTTAGTGATGATAGTATACGGCAGAAATACCCCTGAGAAACGTACGATTCAACAGTAATAAACACAGAAAGTTCACTACTTCCAAAGATTAAGTTTCACAGTTATGAAGTAAAACCATACAGATTACTTCTTAGTATCGTCGCCTCTTTGTTGAGAGATGGACGTTTGTCGTGCATTACAAGTGATTAACGTTGGCAAAAATCAACTCAGATTTCTGAATCCGTGCCCAGGTTTCATCAGACACCAAGTCACCAGGGTTCATGAAACTTCCAAAATGAGTGTGGCTCAACTACTTTACGTGCATCATCAGTGTGAACATTAACGTGGTAGAAGACATGACTTCTGAATACCAACTATTTCTATGGCAAGTACTTATCAAATGAAAAATATAACACGTAGATAAACAAGAAATTCATCATACTTACCGATGGCAATCTAATCAAGTTCCTTATTTCACAATCCATCTTCTTTTGAATTAAATCAGCCAAAGTAGTACGAGAACAATAATGGTACAAACCGTCTGTTTAAGAATATCATTTAGAAAGACATAACGAAGAAATTTTATTTGAGTGTACAAAAAACTAATAATGTATTTACACATAAAGTTAAATTCAACAAAAGATGCAAATATGATGGATACAATAATAATAACAGTCCTATTGCTACAGACGACTTTATACACTTAGTACGACAAATACCATAGAATGAGTCCATCTGTGTCAGGTGTTATAAATTCGAATTTCTTGTAATGAAAGCTCGATAGGGTCACTTCACCATAAGGTAGGTTTGTTATTAGTTCATGATATGCTGATCAGATCACTGACCTCTTTACCCTATAACCTGATGACCGTAGTCCTTAACGCATATCGGTACACATAGTTTCTTCTAGCCACAGTGCCCAAGCAGAATACAAAGAAAAGAAAATTTAACTTTTACTAGGGTACTGGTCGTTTAGATGCCAAGACTAAGAAGACAAAAAGATGAATTATATGACCCCGACGTACCTTAAATAATAAAATCACTAAGTATACATATGTGATGTCACATATATTTGTCATACGTGATACACAATCTGAGCATTAAGTTTACAATTAATTAACAATGATTTAAGTAAGGTAAAGTATATGACAACAGTTACTGAATGGGAATGAAAGCTCACAGTAAATATGATATAAAATTCTTACAACCGAAGTCGTGAAATGGTACACTTCTGAAGAGCCCTATACTAAAACGAAACAGTTGTCCAGTGCCTCCAGATAGTTAATGGTTGTTTAACTTTGATTAATTCATAATTTCAATGCATATCAATCAAGAAAAGTTGTTACATAATAATGATAATAAATCATGGATTAAAAATGGGTAAAAACATAAATGAATGGGACGTTAATTATTTGTGAAGAAAATATAGACCTCAATGAAATCACAGATAAATTCATTGGTTGTCATTACTTGAGTAAATTCACATTAACAGTCAAGTTGTGAATGGAATTAAACTATTTTATTATTAACATGCTACCAGATATGCTCAACGTGTTTGGAATTATTAAGTCTAAACTTGGTAATCGTACTTGTAATAAAAGCATACAGTATAATTACACTTTTCTTACATATTATTTGCCTGTACTTTGTATTAGGCAGTGGGTAAAAATTTGAATATTAGGTAACTCGCACGCGAGGCCGAAGGTCCTAGGTTGAATTCTTAGTTGTGAAATTGTGGGTGTACACTGTTGAGGAGTCCTATACTAAGAGGAAATGGCCACCTAGTGCTTCCACCTTTTTCAATAGTTGTTTCGATTAGATCGGTTCGTAATTTCAATGAAATTTAATTATCTCTACAGCCCAATAATGACAATTACTATTAGTTTGTATGTACTTTTTTATAAAAACAAGAATGAATGAATAATTGTGTCTTGACGGCACTTCTTTCCATCATTCTAATTGTATTTTTCTAATCGTTTATTGTTTTTACTGTATGTTTTGCTGTTCAAAGACTTCCGTCAATCAGCTAGAAATCTAAACTTTGGCTCGAAAATGTTCTCTTTATATACCTAGAATAATATGTCAAATGTAATACACCGTTATGATTTTTCATTTAAACTGTATCACATAATTGATGAGCCTAAAAAAAACACAAGTGGTTGACATTATGAACAAGGCTTTTATGTTCACTAAGTGTGTTGTATCTAGCATTTTCGTCTATTTCCCGGTTTATTTATTAGAAAGTAATTTTCACTGAAGATTTCATTTCAAGCTATCACATTTGCTAAATTTTTGTTTTCCAAATGAGATCTTAAGTTGCGTCATACTAGACATGTTCTTAACAAACAGTTATGGACAATTCCAGGCCTAGTATACATATGTTTCTTTGATATTCTCACCGCAGATTGCGGGGGCTGATTAATCAGTCATGTAACCACTACATAGCAACAAAGTTAGTGGATTAGTTGTTCATGGTATCTACAAGAGTATAACAATTTGGGATAAATTGTGGAAAATACCTGGTAAAAGTGTTTCATCACTTTGATAGATAATTTCTTCAAGCGCCTTTCGTAAACTTGCACGTTCTTTATCATTTTTTAGAGAAGATTGTGCAACAACTTCTAAAGGTTTATACACTTCACCAGATCGAATATACTATGAGTTGAATGAACAAACGAACGTAGAAGTATAATAAATTCCACATGAACAATATATCAAATTCGTTAGTTTGTAAAAAAGTGTAAGCGTGATAATAAAATTATTGAATATACTTTAAGACACACATCTCCCAAATATTTCAATGACATGCAATTAATATTACTTGAAAATGTATTTCTCATACCAAAAGTTTCTTACGGTTTTGAATTATCTTCTTATCTTTATGAGTTACGAACAACGAAACTAAGCCTGATATTTTTCTATTGCATCACAACTGGTCATTCTAACCAGTGATAATTAAGGTAGGAATGATACGATCATAAATCATTTAATCTATTTATGAACTAATTGTCGATATCCTTCGGCTCTAGTTGTATTGCTCTCATTGCATTAAATGTTCACTAGGGAATTTAATCGAACTGTTAGCTTATTTGAGCTGACTTTATCTATTGAAATATACACGTTAGGTGGTTAGAGGTATTCAAAAGGAAAGCCTGCTTGACTTAAGTTTTGTGCTAATCGATATTCATTCACGAGTGTCAAACATTATGAAACCTAGGTCTAGGATATCCTGAAGAATACATTCAACCATAAAACATAAAAACACAGTGTATACAACGTTGAGCCACTTATACTAATGACTACATCAAAACCTGATTGATAGAATCCAGAAAGCTCCAAGGAAAGGCAAGCAAGACATTGGATGATGCACATTGGTTAGTCATTGTACACTACTGTACAATATTTGGTGCATATCTTGGTATGGAATGAACGGTTGTGGATTCATATATTTCTCATAATTCGAATGACATTCGCATTTATACTTCATCTTATGAAAAGCCTTTATTACATATATTGATTGTGAGAGATTTTAATTAGATGAAATATCTGTATAACGTATCTGGGTTCTGGAGTTCAAGAGAAATACTTTTAATGCATTTTATCTTATCGTTTTGCAACCGTACACAATAAATCATTGTCGCATTACATCATGAAATCATTTTAGATGTTAAAAAATCATCTGAAGTGTCTAAGCATAAAATAAGACCGAGATATTAAAGTTCATAACAAGTGTTTTTCAAATGGTTTACAGTTTTCTAAATGAATTAAACTTTTTAATGTCTAAATGTTATTATTTTGCAATAATCAAACTAACTAGATTGTACGCAGTTGAATTTTATCGATAACATTCTCATCGTCTGACTTTTCAGCTGATCTACCAGAAAATTCGCTTGTTGACTTAGAATACACAGATGATATGATTCTGCATAATGAAGATGTTAACAGATTCCAATGTCTTCTGACAGCCTTAAGAAACAATGCAACCGGGTTTAGGATTCTACTCTTGTCCTCTAAATGCAAAACCTTACTTCAGGATTGGTGGGCGTCAGAAGATGAGTTATTGATAGGGAATGAAGTAATTGGGACCACGGAGTAGGCAATGTCTAGGCTAGGAATAGGGTATTAGACAAGTATAACAAATAGATTCATGAGGTAGTAAATCTTCACCAACTAATGTGGTTGGGAGTTTTGTTGCCTATGCCTGTCCACCGCCCACCACGACGAGCGATGTTTTCTGGTGCACGAGTACAGTGGAAGAAAAATAGGAGAGACCAAACCAAAACATGTCATCAGTCTATGAAGACATAGACAATTAGACTTTGGCATGTTAATCGGTGTAGACCACCTGATTGGTGTTGACATGATTATCGTAACTAAGGGTTAGAGACTTTGAATGACGTTTTAAAATCGTTTGTGGTGGCGCAGATGCATCCGTTCTTTTTCTTCTCACAAATTCTAATAATCTAAATTCCTCATAACTTTTTTGTTTTTATTTTGCTAACATATTTTCTTCTGGAATCATATCTTGGATGCTTAATCGTTCATTTTACCAGTGGTACTGTCACTATCTCTAATATTCTGGGATTTCATCTGATAGTTTGTGCTAATAGGGTATGGCGAATTGAACCGATGTGTTTACGTACCAAATTTTGTGTTGTGACTGACTTACTGCATGTATATATGAAGTTGGATGAAGAAAACGCAACAAAAACTTTTGACAAATGCACTGTGATTTTTGTGGAACCATGTCATTCTAGTTCTTAAAGGTAATACAATGCAAAAATTAATAAATTGTTCATGTAACTAGATAACGATAATTTAATATTGACAGGCTTTCAGTCACTCAATTATTCGATTCTTTCGAGAATGAACCAGATATGATCACTTCAACATTTTATGAACACAAGTAGAAATCGGTCAGTAAGTGAAATCAAAAATAGTAAGATTTTGAAGATATACGATAAGGTGACATACTTAGTGTAATTGGAAAATTCGATTTCCAATTCTTGTCCAATCACAGACTGCACACATCAAAAGGGGACCATTAATCACACGGAATGAACTTACATTTATAGAATTAATCATAATTATATTGTGTAGACTGTTAGGAAAAAAATCAAAATGTACATTAGAAAGCAACACTTACTTGTTCAACTAAATCAACCTGATAATTTTGTAATTCACCTTGAACAAATACAGGTTGTAATGATTCGGTAATAAAATTTATGACAAGTTCACGTTCAGTAAGATTCACCTACATAAAGTCATATATAGATATATATATTGATTCAAAGGTATTTAATAAAATGTTGGTAAAGAGTAATTTTGGAAAAAAATGTAGAAAATTTGAAGATAAATTTTTGGCAGTGTTGCATTCGCTGAGATTGACAGATACATATGAAGCATACACCGTAATTATAGATAATATCACCAGAGTCTTCTTAAAGTCGAAGTGAGGTTTTGTGGGTATTTGCACAAAGACAAACATTCTCATCGTTACCCATAATGATCGTATATTTATTAAGTATTAGCTGGTAACCATAACAATTATTATTATTATTATTATTATTATTATTATTATTATTATTATTATTATGACCATTCATTACTATGAATTAAGTCACAGTAAGAAATTGTTAGCATCAATGGTGAAAGACTGAAATAAAAAAGCTTATGTATAAACTGTAATTACCTAAATGTTAGATTTTATGAATGGTACATTTTTCCCATTCGTCTTCAAAAATGAAAAATTTTCTATTAACTTAGGGGGCTAACACAATTTATTTCATCCATCAGATATACGAATTAGAATAAATACTTCTCAGGGTGACAGAAAAGAGAAGAATATGCCAACATTTTCAGTGTTTCCATTTGGAGTCTCCAGTATAACATCGTATGAGTACACGCAGTTAGGATACATAATTATTCGGTTAAAAAAACAATGAAATACAAGGTTTATTTCAATGCTTGCAAATTAGGAAAATAAGTGAATTAAACATAAGAGCAAATCGTTGTATGTACTAATGAGGTGTGTGCTACTTACATCGACTTTAGTATGTAACGCTAGACAGCAATAGAATGTCTCGTAACAGAAGATTGAGAAGATCGAGGAGGAAAACAAGGCAACAGAAGGCAGTTCGTATGGAAATGTAGGAACAATGAATTATGAGAAAATTTATACATATTTTGCAAAAAAAGTATTAGGTACAACGTCTATCAAAAGTGTAGCATGTTTCATCATCGCAGGCAGGTACTGGTTACTACTCACCGTCTTTAGAAACGACCCCATCACAACCATCGACTGCAGTTACTAGTACTGACTGTAATGGCGGTTCTGTGTATCAATGGCGTTTAATTAGTTGCAACTGCTTGCAATGTAACACGTATTGGGTCAGGTCGCCTTACATGCCTGTCCAGTATGCACTTTGTCGTACTAACTATGTCCTTCATGCGAAACAGGTATGAGCTATCTAGTGGCACTCATGAATCACCCAACGCCGCCAGTTCTTCGGGATCACAGTCGCCCAATTTCATCATCGTTCTGCCAGATCGGGGCTCCATATACGTTCACTCTCAGTGTTTCCCTTTGCATAAGCGACATTATCACCCCCTTATCCATTGCTCGTTTGTCGACGTCTGCTCCCTCTTTTATCACTTTGATTACCTCTTGAAGTTTAGGGTCAGCTTTCTGCTGCTGAACATGCTCTAGTGGGTCTCCCTTTATACTATTCACTGCATATGCTGTCAATGGGAGCGCGGCTTCCGTGTCTGGTCTTGACAAGTAACCCACCATTACGTTTTCCTTTCCTGGAACATGGCCGTTACTGAAGTCGTACTCCTGCAGACGTATCATCCATCGCGCCAACTTTCCACGGTTGTCTCTTGCTGTTTTCAGCCACTACAGGCTTATGGTCAGTCTCGATGTGGAAGGGAGACCCACTAGAGCATGTTCAGCAGCAGAAAGCTGACCCTAAACTTCAAGAGGTAATCAAAGTGATAAAAGAGGGAGCAGACGTCGACAAACGAGCAATGGATAAGGGGGTGATAATGTCGCTTATGCAAAGGGAAACACTGAGAGTGAACGTATATGGAGCCCCGATCTGGCAGAACGATGATGAAATTGGGCGACTGTGATCCCGAAGAACTGGCGGCGTACCGTGATACCTGGTAAAGTGTAGAAAACGGAAAGGCAACATAGTAAAGCGACCAGGGTGAGGAAAGCTGATGCCGATGTGGGAAAGACCGTATATTGTCACGGAGAGACGTGGCTGGGTTTACACGATCAAGAGAGGAGACGAGCAGAAGCGCGTAAACGACAGTCAATTGTAGTGATTGTTTAAGGAGCATTGTGAGTGCGAGTCACGAATAGCACTAAAAGGGCAGTGGTACGATGATTGGAAAGACTTCGAGAACAGCCCATTAAAAGGGGGGACGAGTGTGGTGTGTGCTTTTTTTGTTGACGTTAGGATACAGTGCTAGACAGCAATAGAATGTCTCGTATCAGAAGATTGAGAAGATCAAGGGAAGCAAGGGAACAGTAGGCAGTTCGTATGGAAATGCAGGAACAATGAATTCTGAGACAATTAATGAACATTTTGCAAATGAAATATTGGATTATAGTTTTTCTATTTTATCAAGTAAATCTGTAATTTTGTGATAATTATAATCGGTTGTCCTCACCTATGTTCTCCTTCACTACACTACGATTGACAAACGCTGAAGTGGTGTCTAAGTGGTTAAAGGATTCAATTTGGGACTAATGTTGTGAATTAAAACCAAACATCACTTAATTTGTTTTGAGCAGTCTTGCAATATCACTGACCACAGGATCCTGAAGGAACAAATGGCTAATGAACTAATCGTTGGTCACCGGCTACCATGGGACTACATCTCCTGACGTTGCTCCATTGCCTTGCGGATCAGACCTTTAGGTCGAAGGCTCCGGGTGTGGTCCCCTAAGAAAACCACCTGCTTCGGTTTGGGCACACAAATCAAATGACTTATGTGGCACATATCTATTTGGTCCTTGTACTAATGTTTATGTATTTAAATAATAAAACATACTACTTATGTCTGTCAGCAAAAGTAGTATACACCACAATATGTACAAAAGTGATTCATACTTACATTGGAGACAACGTAAACTAGTACATAAGCATACGCTTACAAAGAATTCGACCGAATATCAGTTGGACGGTATATGTAAACTTAGACCAAACGATACAGTGTAAAAACAACATAATATGCCACTGTCAACTATTTAATGATAGCATAGTGGTTTCTTATATTACCGATGATAGGATGAACATGAAAACAAGCGTAAGATGTTGAGAAATGAAATAATCAGAGTTCCTTTAATTTCTAGATGAATCAAATGGTTAGAAAATGTTGACATGTCCTAAAATGCATGAATCCCAGAAGAATGCATAGTTTGTATTACTTACTCGTGGAAAATCATTAGGTAGAAGACGTCCAGACTGTTCGAGTATAGCTGAAATAAGTAGTAAAATGTAAGGGATATGAATTGACATACTTTTCTTCAGTACATAGATGCTACATAATTCAACAATTTTATTTTAGAAAATGACTTGTACTTTGTGTTACAATCAATGAAACAAACCACATATTTAAACATCATATTGGTTTAAAACTCCAAACAACTAGAATTATTTATAGTATACATTTGGAAAAAAGAAATCATAAACCTGTGGACGAAAATAGTCCACCAACTTGGTCGTCGAGTAACATTAACTGGTTAAATAATAGTCGTAAATAATTATTCGAGGCCACTTTTGTTCACATTTCACCACAATTCGCAGAAAATTAAAATCGCTAATATGCATGCAATCACGTTATATAAGTGTGTAAATGGCATGCGTTAAAGTGAAAGAATACATTACAATATGTCACACTAATAGTACTAGTATGAATAAATTTCAGAACAGAATATTCACAGTTCTGAATAAAATGAAATATATCGTAGATAATTTTGGCTGAACTACCATTAAGGACGAGCAAAATCTAATAATGAAAGCTATTATGTTGAGAAACTAAGATGGATAGTGGCTAGCACGGGAATTCAGGACGCGTTCCCTCCTATTTGAGACTCGTCAGCCGGATATACCTGCATCCCAAAGTCGATTATCACTCCGTGACTCGAACCTAGTACTGATCGCTTCAAACACCATCGCTTGTGACTAAAAGCAATATCGAGGCAATCCGCACAGGATGCGCATGTGCTCACAAGAGACTGATCAATTGCAGTCACAAACAACAGGGGGGAGATCTAAGCAAACAACAAGTGAATTCGTTGAGAAACTGTTTAAAATTCCGAAATTAAATAGAACCTAAAAACTAGTAAATTGAATAGATTGAGGAATTAGAATGGTAAAAATTAAATACTTCATACATTTACCTTAATTTAGATAACCGGTTATGTCGCTATTCTTCACATGAAGTGTGATTTAAAGCTGAGACAACATGAACGTGCCATTTAATGAATTAAATATGTCAGTTTAATCACACAACGAGTTACACTGATTCTGTCCAAAGAAACACGAAAAGCACTTATAGAATGGGAATCTCATGGATCCAGGATTATCAAAGTATCCTTCACAACAAAGAAGGAGGGGATTCCGATTAATGTTATCCAGTTTTATGCACCCACCAATGATAATAATGAACACGATGAAGATCAGTTCTATAAGAGGCTGTAGTCGATCACAGAGAAGTGCTCAGGAAAGGACCTGACCATTCTGATGAGAGACCTAAACACCATCGAGTATTAAGATATCATGGGACGACATAGACTGACTGGGAGAAAGGAACGAGTAGGCTGAGAGATTTTCAAATTTATGTGCATTCAAAAAATGATTATGGGCGGCACTCTATTGATCCATAAACGCATAAACAAAGCTTCAAAGGTTTCACTGGACTACACTACACAATATCATATCGATTACATTTGCATCAGTAAAAAGTTCAGAAGGTCAATCGAAAACACATCTTCAAATCACCACCAGGTTGTGGGTACCAAGAAGAAACTGAAACTAAAGAAACAATGGACAACTGAACAAACAACATCACAAAGGTACAATGATACTGACAAACTCAATCCATTCAACTTAACTCCCAACAACTGGTTCCAAGACGTACACGTTCCGCTCAAGGAAGAAAAACTACTATGGCGTACAACTGGAAATGGATCAAAGATGCACCAACTTCAAATTGTCAGGAGGTTCTGGACCATAACAAGCACCATCATAAGGAATGGGTCTCTATTGAAACCCTGGACAAGATTCAAGATAGGAAGAACAATAAGACAGCCCAACAAGATCGCAAAAATCAAGGAACAAGCTGAATACACAGAGGCGAACAAGCAAGTGTAGAGCAGCATTAGAGCCGACAGTCAGAAATATGTGTAACAAACAGCAATGAAAGCGGGAAAGGCTGCAAAAGAAGGAAATATGAGACAGATATATGACACAACGAAAAACTAACAGGGAAATATAGTAAACCAGAGACCCGTCAAGGACAAACAAGTCAAGCCCATCACTGCGATTGGCACAGCAAGGGCAGTATTCTTACAATTCAAGAACATATGCAACTCAAAACAACTACAAACCAATATCAAAGTCAGAATCTTCAATACGAACGTCAAGAAAGTTCTATTATACGGAGCTGAAACTTGGAGAACTACTACAACCATCATCAAAAAGTACGAATATTTATAGATAATCGTCTATGCAAGATACTCAATGTCCGTTGACCGGATACCACCGGATACAACCTACTGTGGAAGAGAACAAACCAGCTTTTATCTGAAGAGGAAATTAGGGAAAGACTCTGGAGGTAGATAGTACATACATTATGGGAATCATCAAACTGCATCATGTATCATGCGCTAACTTGGAGTCCTGAAGGAAAAATGAAAAGAGGAAAACGAAGGAACACATTGCGTTGGGGATTGAAAGCAGACATCAGTAGAATGAATAACAACTGGAAAGAATTTCCGAGGATAGAGTTGGATGGAAAATGATTGTGGGTGACCTATGCTCTTCTACGACGGGGAACAGGCGTAAGTAAGAACACTTGGTTTGGGTTTGTGCACTAACCACGATCGGCGGTTAGAGACATTGGGTGACAGCTCAGAATCGATCACGATGGAGCAAATTGATCTATTCTTTATCATCCTCTACAGATTGAGTTCAAGTACATTTTCGAATATACCTTTCCACTCTGTCTTTTCGAACTCTATTCCAAATGTTGAGTTTTCCTAATTATCGTCTAGCTAAACATTCTAAATAAATGTATCATGAACTATTTATGACTTCAATTAGAATACGCATTCTATAATTCAAACATGAGATGATAGCCGATTATTACTTACTTACTTACGCCTGTTACCCCCAATGGAGCATAGGCTGCCGATCAGCATTCTCCAACCCACTCTGTCCTGAGCATTTTTTTCTAATTCCATCCAATTCTTGTTCATTCTTCTCATGTCTATCTCCATTTCCCAGCGTAATGTGTTCTTTGGTCTTCCTCTTCTCCTTTGGCATTGAGGATTCCATGTGAGGGCATGCCTTGTGACACAGTTGGGTGCTTTCCTCAATGTGTGTCCTATCGATTTCCAGCACTTCTTCCTGATAACTTCCTCCACTGCGATCTGGTTTGTTCTCTCCCACAATGGCTTGTTGCTGATAGTGTCTGGTCAACGGATTCGAAGTATTTTGCGTAAACAATTGTTAATAAACACCTGTATTTTCTGGATGATGGCTTTTGTAGTTCTCCAAGTTTCCACCTCATACAGTAGAACTGTCATGATATTTGTATTGAAAATCCTGACCTTGGTATTGGTTGACAGTTGTTTTGAGTTGCAGATGGTCTTCAATTGTAGATATGCTGCTCTCGCTTTGCCGATCCGCACCTTCACATCTGCATCAGATCCACCGAGCTCATCAATGATGCTGCCTAGATATGTTAAGGTTTTTACATCCTCCAAAGCTTTTCCATTAAGTGTAATTTGATTAGTGCGTGTTGGGTTGTGTCGGAGAATCTTGCTTTTCTGTTTTTGTATGTTGAGATGTACTGCTGCTTAGACTGCTGCTCCACTGGTAGTCTTCTCATGTATTTGTTATTGCGTGTGCAATAGAATAGCCAGATCATCTGCGAAGTCTAGATCGTCCAGGTGTATCCTAGCTGTCCACTGTATCCCGCTCTTCCCCTCACATGTTGACGTTTTCATGATCCAGTCGACCACCAGAAGAAAGAGAAAGGGTGAGAGTAAGCAACCTTGTCTGACACCTGTCTTTACTTCGGACGAGTCTGTAAGCTGTCTTGCGTGCACGACTTTGTAGTTTAATCCATCATAAGAATTACGTATGATGTTCACTATCTTCTGAGGCACGTCGTAGTGTCGAAGAGGCCCCCATAGTGTTGTCCTATCCATGCTATCAAATGCTTTCTCGGAGTCAATGAATTTGATGCAGAGTGATGAGTTCTATTTAATCGATTGTTCCATAATGATCCGTAGGGTTGCAATGCGGTCTGTACACGATCGATCATTCCGGATTACAGCTTGTTGATCTCAATGTTGGGCGTCTAGAGAGTCCTTCATTCTGTTTAACAATACCCTGTTGAAGACTTTTCCTAGTATTGAGAAAAGAGTGATGCCTCTGTAGTTCTCACAGATGCTGAGATCGCCTTTCTTTGGTATCTTGATGAGGTGTCCTTTTCAATCTTTCTGAAGAGAATATGGAGTATCTTTGCAGTTACTTCTACGTCTGCTTTCGGTGCATCTGCTGGGATGTCTGTTCCCGTTGCTCTGCCACTCTTCGTTTGTCTGATGGCCATGCTGATCTCTCCAATTGTTGGTGGGCCGACATTGATTGGGAGGTCCGTGGGTGCTACTTCGATGCTGGGTGGGTTCAGTGGGGCTGGTCGATTCAAGAGTTCTCTGAAGTGTTCTACCCACCTGTTTCGCTGTTCTTGAATGTTGGTGATTACATTGCCTTACTTGCTTCTTACCGGTCGTTCTGGTTTACGATAATTTCCAGCAAGTTTTTTTATTGTGTCATACAGTCCCATGATCTCTTCATATCCGATGTTGTCCGTTCCAACCTTAGCATTTAGGTCTGCCCTCAGAATGGTCAAGTCCTTTGTTGGGCACTTCTCGACGATTGACTGCAGCATATCGTAGAATTGATTTTTAACGTCCCCATTGTAGTCGTTGGTAGGCGCATAGCATTGCGTGAAGTTCATTGTAATACCCCCTTTCTTTATACGAATATTCGTCAAGGTTAGAACGAATAGTTTGACAGAAATTGAGCGCCGAGTATAGAGAAGTCATTATATGTGAAATATTCTCAGCGATTGAAATTTAAATCCAAACAAGTTTGCTGGACGAAACGTTGGAATTATTTAACTTTCAACAGCTGAGAATATTTCAAATATAATTTTCACATATAATGGCCCCCCTTCCTTTGTTTCGAAAGAGGCTTTGATGATCCTGTGTCCATGAGATTCCCATTCTACAAATGCTTTTGTGCTTGTTTGGATAGCATCAGTGCAACTCTTTGTGTATGTGGAGCATTTTCTTCCTCATGGTTGGAGTATAGCAGAAGCTCTCCTGAAGCTAGTCTTTGTGGTCCAACCTGCGTCGAATGTTTCACTTATTCCAGGCACCTCCAGGTTGTACCTCTTGATTTCTGCTGTAATTTAGGAAACTCTCCCGGTCTCCCACCTTGTACGAACATCCCATATACCTAAATTGATGGTTGCTCTGGTTGTCAGAAGGGGCATCGGCCTCGTGACTTCCGAAGGAACTCGGCTTTCATCATGAGGCGTCATAACTTTTCTATATGAAGACCTTCTGAAACCCAGGGCAGAATTTAAATGGTTTGAATAATTTTTTTCTGGTTAGCGTTTCTTTAGCGTGTTAGCATTCTATGGGATGGGATCGCTAACCTCATGCCTAATCCTCCACCTTTATCCCGGCTTGGGACTGCCAGTAGCCCCCGCAGGGGCTCCAGGTGGATTAACTGCCTAAAATTATGAAAATCATAAGTTTAGTAGTCATATTTCTATTATATATTGCCCTTAAGTGTCTCAATTAATTAGGTTCCAAGAAATAAAGCGCAATGATTAATTACAGACTTCTTTAGAAGAGTGCAAACTATTTCAAAAATATGACCGTGAGATCGGTTTATTTTGAAATATTGAAAGTCGAATAACTAGATAAATAGTCCTAAAGATAAATAGCTTTAAAAGTCTAAATATTGAAATGTATGACTTTTTAAAGATAGCTTACCACCGTATAACCATTTAAAGAAAGCGCGTAACTGTGTAAGACTCTTCTCAATTACTCTAAAATATAAAGTGATTGGAAAACACTAAATAGGTTTAGTGAACAGTATACAATAACAAAACTAAACATATATTTAATATAAATGTTATGACTCAGCAACAATTCACAAGTTCATGAACTAGACGTTTTCAGAAAAACCAACTGACTAATGTCTAAATGTACTAACTGATAATCTCAATTCAAGAAAGTCTGATGAAAATTCTGTTTCCAACACATTGGTTAAAAATTTGGAGGTTATTCAAAACCTGATTTCTGATAAAATTTAGTTTTTTTTTTGAAGTTTTAGTGACTGGCCTTATATCAGGACCACATAGGTTTTTCTAGCTTCTGGAAAAAACAAGTTATCTATTCTGCTAAAGCTATATTTTGGCGTTGTCACTTAGTCCCTTATTAACCCTGGCTGTTTTGATATGAATATATGTGCGTGTATTGCTTATCCTATTCATCACATGTCTGTGACATATTTTTGTCTAACTATAAATATCGAGTCACGCTTGATTAAGAAGAGTTGGCTGACATGCCTTCCCCAATCTATTTCGCTTCTCTTTTTTCTCTTCGTTTCGTTTATCTGATCATTTGTCTGGATCAATGATTGAATGAAATACACGTATTCGAAATTCATTCTTGTATTTGACTTATTTAATTCTGTTATTCACTAACGCGATCGATGATTAAATACGAAGTTAACTGGGATGTGCATATCGATAGCAATCAGCAAACGATCAACCTAGAATCAGATCTCAGGCCAATAAAGATTTTTATTTCGATAGATGGACGAGATAACGGAATGGACCTTAAAAATGCGCAATTCAATTCCAACAATTCAACTAAATACTTACTATGTACTAAAACTACTGAATTTTTGAACAGTTAATGAATACAATTGATAGAAAACAGATTTTTATAACATACAACTGTAATTCTTGAGTTTTTTGCAAAGTCATTCCAATCGTTCGTAAAAGGTTTAAAGCTGTAGATGCTGGAATTTGTAATTCATGATATAATTCTGTATCTCGTAAACTGCCCAGAACTTCAGATACATGGAATAGAAGACGCTGTAAGAAGCTATAAAGAAATAATTTGCAATAAATGAATGAAAATAAAAAGCAGCCAAGTAACAATAATCATTTCTAAGTCAAAATACGTAAAATTATCTCCCGACGTTTCATTCGAATATTAAAATTTTTGAAGCATTTTTAATCTAGCTGAAGGGGTTTTGTCTAGACCAGTTTAGATTTTAGTTTGTTATGGTCGGTCACGAGATCTTAACTCCATGAATTCAATTCATTTTATTCGATAGGTCGACTTAATCAGAAATTAAAATCAGCTAAAGAACTATTGAAAACTAGAAAGTATCGGATAGTTTTTTCTGGGAGGCGGATATATTTTGTTCGCGCCACTTATCATTTATTCTTGAAACAAGAAACCACTACCATTTCCATGATGCGAAGCAAGAACACCAAGACCGGTACAAGTATTTGATGATCTGTAAGTAATATATAACGTCAATAATGGAGCATTCTGTGAAACATCTTGACTGCGAAAACTAGGGTGAGTCCTTCCTTCTTAATATGACTATAATTACGTTTCGCACGAGTGACTGTTTGTGAAGCACGACAAGTTGCCTTCATTGTACCATCGGGAAAAGCATGTGAGATAATCACTTCGGTGCCATAATTTGAGGCGCCCACCACCACCACAATTTCTAATCTAGGGTTACAGTGGATTAATACTAAATCAGATGAGAATGTTTCATTTACTCCATCAAACGATCGTTGTGATTCCTTTGATCATCGCCATTTAGCACCATCCAACAAGAGTCCATTCAGTGAGTGCCTCAGTTAATACATATATGGGAAAAAAAGCATTGCAGAGACTTATCCCAAACAAGAACGATCGTAACTCGCCAAAATTTCTTAGTACTGGCATTTTTACAATCACACTGACATTATCAGGATCGGCTCTACGACCGTCTTTGTCGATCACGTACCCTAGATACCTAGTGGTTTGCATTGAGAAATTTCATTTATCATCACGTGAGCGGTAGCCAGGTTGTGTAAATTTTGACAGGATACTATCAAGTCTAAGGAACAGTTCCTCCAGAGTAGCTCCAGTACCAATGATGTAAACTAAGTAGCAGCAACCTCTGGTACTTCATCTGTCATCATATCCACAAATTATCGGAATATCACTGGAAATGTCTTCACACCGAAAGGAAATTGGCAGTACTGATAAAGCCCGACGTGAGTAATGATAATCAACTAGTGTTTCGAAGATTTATGCACATCAAGTTGGAGAAACGAGTCTGCTAAATGCATTTTTGTAAAACAATTCACAGTATTTAGTTTTGTGAAGATATCTTTTTGTATTCCAAGTGAATATGAACAATCTTCCGATGCATTATTCAAACCTGTCGAGAAATCAGCAAACAAACGTAAGGATCCATTAGTCTTTTTAACGACTATTAGGGCTGCTCAGTGTGAATATTTGATAGGTCTGAAGACAGCCAGTTCTTCCAATCTCTCCAACCACTTATCTAATAGAGGTAGGGAGGCAAACGGAACTGGTCATTTCGAAGTGAAAACAGGTCGAATGTTCGGCGGCAGATATAGAACTGCTTTCTGCACCGTACAACACCCCGTGGATCCACTGAATACTGAACTACGTTCGAATTAGGGTGATTGATAAGAGTTCATTGTTATAATAATGGATATCTGAGTTGAGAGCGAAATTTGTGAGAAAATGAGATTCAGTGGCATATTCAATAATGACAGCTGCTTCATCCAATCAATCTACGGCACAGAGAGAAGAAATTGTCAAGCCAAATCCAAAGATAGTGAAGACAGTCACAGTATCAAAAGTAATACGAAAGATTAAGCATCGAAGATACGATTTGAGAAAAATAATAGATCAGTATAGGGTTGTGGAGATTATTGAGTTTAGTTAAGACCATGAACCGACCATTGTTAGACCACCATTGAAAATCTGGGAGCACATGACGACTGTTTTGTCCTAGTTTGGGACTTTTCAGCAGAGCCCATCCCCGATCCCGCACGCGGAAATCGAACGGCCGTCCAGTGCTTCCAGGTTTTCAATGATGGTCTAAAATCGATCGGTTCATGATCTCAGTTAAAGAAAATACATGTCAGTCAAGTAAAAATAAAAAACGTTATGAGGAATTTAGATTGTCAGAATTTGTGAGAAGACAAAGAACGGATGCATCTGCGTCACTACAAACGATTTTGAGACAAGTCTCTAACTATTAGTTACGATGATCACGCCCACCCCAATCAGGTAGTCTACACCGATTAACATGCCAAAGTCTAATTGTCAATGTCTTCATAGACTGATGACATTTTTTAGTTTGGCCTCTCCTATTCTTCTTTCAGTGTACTCGTGCACCAGAAAAAATCGCTCGTCGTGGTAGGCAGTGGACGGGCATAGGCAACAAAACTCCCAACCACATTAGTTGGTGAAGATTTACTACCTCATCGGTCTATTTGTCATGCTTGCCTAGTAATCTATTCGTAACCCAGACATTGCTTACTCCGTGATCCTAAAATACACAAGTATTGCTTCGAACATTAGTACACTATGAATATCCTCTATTCTTGATGGTCATGTTTTACGTCCATAAAGTAGAACGGAGAGAATCGTTGCGCAGTAAACTCGGTTTATGGTTGGCAGACAGACATCTCGCCTACTCCACATATGACGCAAGATGACAAAAGCCAGTTGAGTCTTCTGAATCTGTATCGAGAGTCAATCTGACACTAGACCATGAAGAGTAACGAGACTCCCGAAGAGGGTGAAGCGGTTGATGTGTTCAACAACTACACCCCCTATCATTCACTTAGCTACTAATGCCGGCTAAACTGAGTAAAGAGCCTGCACAAGATGGGTGAACCTATTTGGTACACCTTTCGTGAGATACACTGCCACATAACCTCACAGCAAACAGATTCGAATGCTGCCTTACTATTTTAAACAGTGCCCGTTAGTGAATAAATTAAGCAATCGAAGGCACCATCGTATCGGCTGATAATAAAAAAGAGATTTTCCGTCGAATAATACAACTGTTTATTTATATAGTTGAGTACATAATAGTTTAAATATGATTTATTTGCCTCACAACAATCAGTCAGTCAGTAACAACGTAGAACTTCGTACGTACGTACGTACATCAGTTCGAGTTGCCATACCACATTAGCACAGAGATGCAGTTTTCGATTCAAATCCCGTAGTGATAGACGTAGTAAACTTATAAGCTGTAATCAGAAAAATTAGGGTTTGAAGATGATATTCAAGGAGTATAATCCAGTGTAATAAATTTGTAAAGAGAAAAAAAGGAACATGAAGAATTCGGAAGATTGGAATTCGGGAGAACACACAAAGTGGATGAACCTGCGCCACCTGTTGCTATCATCTCGCGGTCCTCAACCAGGTAGTCTACACCTACCAATATGACTCAGTCCACTTGTCAGTGACTTCATGGATTTGTATCATTTTTTGGTCTGACCGCCCCTAACTTTCTCCTAACCTACTCCTATACCGTAAAATATAGCACGTCGAGGCAGTCGGTGGATGGGCATACGTAACACGTGTCCCAGCCATCTCAACTGATGAAGTTTCACTACTTCATCAATTGATTTGCCATCCTTACCTAGTACCCGTTTCCTAACAACTGCGTTACTTACTCGATGGTCCCATGATATACGAGCAATGTTTCAAAGACACCTATGATCAAATACTAGTAACCTACAAATATGCTCTACTCTCACCGGCCATGTTTCACTGCCATAAAGTAGGACGGAACGAACTGCTGCACAGTAAACCCGTCCTTTGGTTGATAGACGGATATCTCGCCTGCGCCATAAATGACGCAAGTTGGCAAAAGCTAGTCGAGCCTTCTGTATCCGTGCTGAGATTTCGTCACACACCAGACCACAAGGGTTGATGAGACTTCCAAGATAAGTGAAGCGATCGACACGCTCAATTACTTCACTCCCTATCACTATATCGGGTGTCAATGCAACCCAATCCTGCATTTTAAGGGAGAGAACCGCATCCCGAACATGCTTGCATTGTTGCTTAGAGTGGCCAAAAGACTGCATTTTGTCAGCGTCTTCACCAAATAGAACTATGTCATCGGCATATTCCAAGTCAACAATTGAATCTCCTGGTAGAAGTTCAACCCCTGGAAATCTAGACGAGGAAAGTGTTGCCTCTAAAAGTACGTCAATGACAAAGTTAAACAAGAATGGAGAGAGTGGACAGCCCTGACGAACACCACTTAAGGTAATCAATTCTGATGACAGTTCGCCATAAGCTCTCACTCTACCAGTTGTGTTCGAGTAGAGAGCCTTTACAAGGTTAATGTACTTCTTCGGTACTGCTTTCAATGACAAACACTGCCATAGAACCTCATGATCAACAGAGTCGAGTGCCGCCTTAAGGTCGAGAAATACCACCATTGTGGGGCGTCTGAACGTGTGTCTGTGTTCTAGAACCTGACGTAGTGTGTATATCTGGTCTATACAACCACGTCCATGTCGAAAACTAGCCTGGTTTTCTCCAGTCTACACTTCACGAGCTTTAGTTAGGCGTCGAAGTATTATTGAAGCCAATATTTAAGACACTGTATTAGTCAAATTGATTTCTCTGTGATTGTCACAAGAGGAATTTTGTCCTTTCTTATAGACTGGCACAAACAGTGATTGAGACCAGTCAGATGGGATTGCGTCCAGTTCCCAAATTCAACCTAAGACCTCAGTTAATCTCACTGCTAATACTGAACCACCATCCTTAAAAATCTCAGGAGTAAACCTGTCAGGGCCTGCTGCTCTCTCTCGCTTCAGATTTCCTATAGCTTTGCAAATTCGTAAAGAGACGGAGGACCTACATCAACTTGCCATTCAGGTTGACTGGAGATCGTGGGTAACCGAAATGTGGCTGAAGGCCAGTTGAACTGATCCCTAAAGTGTTCTGCCCATCGATCCAATCTCCTGGATTGAGAATGAATAATATGTCCATCTTTTTCTGAGATAGTTTCGCTAACAGTCGGGTTCCTAATTCCGGTTTCCTTAACGAGTCTAAACAATTGTCTGCTATTACCTATCGCCGTTGCCTTTTCCACCTCTCTTGCTTTCGCTACCCACCACTGTTCACGATCATTGCGTGGGCTTCTTGGTGGGTGCAACATTGAGACGAATTCGGAGGTCACCATTTCAAAAGATGTTTTTCCTTATGTTTAAAGTTAGTATTTGCAAGAAACGGGCGGTTATCTGAGCATAGCTGCAACAGATGGTCGCCATTATCTGTCCTTTGAGGCACGACGCTATAAGATCCACCCAGGTGTCTTTCCCTATCGCTTAGTTTACCTACTTGAGCATTAAAGTCACCAGCCACTATTAAGACATCAGAGCCCCTTGCTTTTCGGAGAACGTCGAAAAGCTTTCTGTAAAACTCATCTTTTACATAATCTGAGCTGTAGTCAGTGGGAGAATAGGCAGAGACAACGAAGAGACAACAACGAATGCCCCTATCTTTCCGAGTCCTTACTGTTCCGTTTAATTGGACAGCGCACAAACGACTGTCTACTGGGATCCAGTCTAAGAGAACTAGGTCTGCCATAGGACTCAATGCTATACTTACGCCGGCGAGGCCACAGGAAGCATCAGGGCTTCTAGATACACGAAGCGTAAATCGAGTTGGTTCGTTACATTGACATGGTGAGGTCAAATGAATTACCCTACTCGGATCATGTATGCGCGTTTCGGAGACAGCACACACCAATGGCGCGAGATTCCAAAGTCCTGGCTAAGGAAGCCTGTTGTCTTATTTGGCACAGTCTTCGGACGTTCAAAGCTCCTACGTGTAGTTTAGAGCGTGGTTTCAGGAGACCAGGAATAACGTTCAGCGTACTCGAATCGTTTGCACTAGCGGTGAGAAGTGATAACGAGACGTGAGAAGGATTAGTCGTGGAAATGAGAGAGGTATTAGGAGGTGTAGGAAGGATTTGAATGTGACCAACTTAGTCTCGTGTGCTGTTACAGGTATGAGGGGTGATGTCACTTCCCGGCTGCCCACACTGTGGAAAGGATTAGTGTTGGTCTTAACAACCTGGGAGCGTGACCACAGAGCCCAATGGACAACTGCTTGAGACCGGTCGCGCACGGCCTTTCCGTGGGTTTTTTTTGATGTGTTAGCTCCGTTCTTCAAAGGACCTTACCGCCGGAGACGGAAATCCGTGAGGTAAGGTGAGGTGTGACATTTTTAAGGTCAACCTTTTCTAACCCCTTCCTTCCTTGTGAGAAGGCAGCATCGCTGCAGACGCTGGTTGTCCGAGGGAAACACCTTGCTGCTGTCACACCCCTCTACAGTCAGCCGTACGACTACGCCCTCAAACCTTGAGTTGCTGCTTCTAGTCTTACCGTTCTCCAATCGACCTGCCTGGCATGGTAGAACCTACAGGAACATGTGACCCAGCCAATATAGCTCGGTTGTGTCATCACGATCGGCAAGCCCGACCACCGCGTCAATGTAGCAGCTACGGTCGGGCCTCATAACAATATCAATTAAACAAGCTCATTTGAAGACAAAATAACTGAAATATAAGTATTTGAACAAAAGTAATAAATTTATACTACTTTGGAATAAAAAAAACAGACTCACAACTGAATTTGTTGAAAGCATATCGTTTTGATTGATTCATAAGCTTTTAAAGTTGCTGTGCCAGTACGTTTTAAACTAGCAGCAGTCCAATCTTCAACAAGGAATTTTCGTAAATCAGGACTGAAAAGGCAGAGAAAAAACGAACATATTGTTAGGATTAAACATGTGGATAGTATTACTTACTATTTAGTCAATAATGGTCAGTTATAACAAAACTATGAACTAGTGCATATGTGCATTCACAATAATCGTCGCATTTTACAATGGTAAGGAGAGAGGAAATAAAAGTAAGACGTAATACTGAATTTCGATTTTGAGTCATGTTGCCTTAGGTCTTCAGTTATAACCACGATGGCCGTAATTTTCGGTAAGATTCAGTTCAACGGTCATGGAGTGATGAAATGGTCATATATAGAAAGATTGAACCATTTAAAAAAATTAAAAAAAAACACAATCAAAAGTCATACAATCTTTAGTAAACTTTAGCATTAGCACGTATAACATTTTTAAATGCTTTTTCACTAAGAAAAGGCTGATATTGGACTAGGACAGACAAACTAAGACAGTATGATTCCTTGAAGTTAATGATTTTAGAATTAAGCTATTAAGATTACCTGGTTGAGGTCCACGCTATCATCGTATCTAATGATTGTAGATGTTGGGTAACATAACTCAACATTGGTTGCAATGGTACAGATGCATTTACTCTTCGTCTTCCTTCAGATCATGAGTTTTATCTTGTGAATTTACCTTTGTTTCTCAAACCATGTCAAACGCTTTATATCATCATTGGTACTGTCACTAGTTTTACTACTTTGTATTTTGCCTTAATAATTTTATCGCAGTGCTGATGTAGTGTGACAACTTGAATATATATGTACCCGGTTCTATGTTGCTTATGATTGAATGGAATTGTTTACGACATCTTTTATTCGACTGATTATGTACAAGGCTGATAAATTATAAATCACACTGGTTTTAAAACACAAATTAAATTATTCTACACATTGAATTAATATAACCTTTAGTAAATTAAATTAATTATTGTCAGTAAATATGCTGTAAAATATCGATATTGGTGATAACAGAGGTAATAAGAAAATGTATAATATTTAAGCTTACCAACAATGGCCAAAAAGAATGAACTGTAATAGTTCCACACATAAAGACCAATCCTAAAAATTTATTGACAACGAAAATAAAAAAAGTGAAACATTGAGAAATCGATTGAATATTGAATAAATGAAATAAACACTAAAAAAACATGAGTTGGATCACAGGTTTTGTTTGACAAATGAATTAAGTATCGGTAATAATAATTTAAAGTGAATTGAGTACATATTCATTCATTTTTATATAACAGTTTCTGGATTGGATTCACTTACTTTATTCTGTTTCAAGCGTTCACGAGCATATTTTGTGAATTTAGCGTCCATTTCTAAAATCATATCTTCCCAACAAATACATACTTGATTGAAACTCCAATCTAATAACTGACCGACAAAAGAAAGAAAAACAAATAAAATAAAAGGATACATTTTAGTAAAGTTGGAAATTACTTAGTTATTTACGCCTGTTACCCCTCGTAGAAGAGCATACGTCGCCCACAAGCATTCTCCATTCAACTCTGTCTTCGGCAGTCCTTTTCACTTCTTCTCAGTTGCTATTCATCCTATTGATGTCTGCTTTCAATCCCCAACGCAATGTGTTCCTTCGTCTTCCCCTTTTCGTTTACCCTTCAGGACTCCAAGTTAGCGCATGCTTCGTAATACAGTTTGATGATTCCCATAATGTATGTACTATCTACCTCCAGAGTCTTTCCCTAATTTCCTCTTCAGATAAAAGCTGGTTTGTTCTCTTCCACAGTAGGTTGTATCCGGTGGTATCCAGTCAACGGACATTGAGTATCTTGCATAGACGATTATCTATAAATATTCGTACTTTTTGATGATGGTTGTAGTATTTCTCCAAGTTTCAGCTCCGTATAATAGAACTTTCTTGACGTTCGTATTGAAGATTCTGACTTTGATATTGGTTTGTAGTTGTTTTGAGTTCCATATGTTCTTCAATTTTAGGAACATTGCCCTCGCTTTGCCAATTTTCACCTTCACATCTGCATCTGATCCTTTTTGTTCATCGATAATGCTTCCCAAGTACATGGAAGATTCCACCTCTTCCAGAGTTTCACCATCAAGTGCGATTGGCTTGGTGGTTTCCGTGTTGTATTTGAGAATCTTGCATTTTACTATGTGTATGTTTGAGCCTACTACTGCAGAGGCTGTTGCTATACTGGTTGCCATGACCTGCATTTGTAGGTATGCATGGGATAGAAGAGTTAGGTCATTTGTGAAGTTCAAATCTTCTAGCTGATTCTGAGCTGTCCAATGTATTCCTTGTTCCCCCTCAGATGTGAAGTTCTTTATAATCTAGTCGACTACCAGAAGAAAGAGGAAGGGGGAGAGAAGTCAGCCTTGTCTGACACCGGTCCCCACTTGCAATGCATCTGTCAGCTGTCCTCCATGCACCACTTTGCAGTGTATAATATTGACGATCTCAGGTACAACATAGTGTCGAAGAAGGTTCCACATGTTCATCTCGTTCATATTGTCAAACGCTTTCTCACAGTCAGGGAAGTTGATGTATAGTAACGACTTCCATTCACTTGTTTGTTCAACGATGATCCATAGTGTCACGATTTGGTCTGTGCACGACTGATCCTTACGGAATCCGGTCTCTTGATCTCAAATTTGGGCGTATACCGAGTCTTAAATCTAGTTCAACAACACTCAGTCGAAAACATTTCCTAGTAACGATTGTAGTGTGGTTCCCCTGTATTTCTCACACTTGATCAGATCTTTCATCAGTATATTGATGAGGTATCTTTCTTCAACGCTTCACCTTTTTCAATGCTTCAGGTCCTGCTGCTTTCCCGCTTTTGATTTATCTGATGGCCATGGTGATTTCTTCGACCAGAGCGGTTCCCTAAGTGTGTGGATCATTTTATTTTTTTATAAAAAGAGTACATTAACATTTCTCCCTAATCAAACCTTCACGGTACAGCTTGAGACCAATGAGTTTCACTGATTCCGAGAACCACCAAATTGTATCTGCTCATTTCCGTAGCGATTTGACTGGTTCTCCTGGTCTCTCACATTGTCTGGACGTTCCATGTACCTATAAGAATTGTTGCTCTGGTTGTTAAAAGGGATATCATCCTCTTGACTCCAAAAGAATCTCCGCTCTCACAATGAGGCCTCAAAATTCTACTGAAGGAAGATCCGTCTTTTATCAGGGCAGGGTTTAATTGGTCTAAATTTTTTTCTGGTTAGCGGTTTTTAGCAACCTTATTTTCTACGGGATGGAGATACTGACCCTACGCCCAATCCTCCTCCTTTACTCGCCGTTGAGACTGGCAGTCGGATATTTCCTACAGTGAAATACTGGGGGCGCGTTTAGGTCTCGACTGGACTCGACATCTGAATGTATCTTTAACTCACCTTCGATGTTTAACCTGGAACCCAGGAATTTTCGCTTCAAACGCTAATAGGCTATCTATTGAGCTACTGAGTCCAGACAGCCCTTAGCTTATTTAATTAGTTATAAATTGAACGTAAAGCGCGTCATGGATTCCACTGTTAGACACGTGACTAAGTGACAGTACTAAGGTAATCTCTCGAGAATGCACTTATTGTAATGGAAACTAGCCAAATGCAGCCGTTAATATCAAAAATAAGAAAATACAAAACGTTACGAATTAAATGTAGACTTTTATTTCTAGAGCATTCAACTGAATTGGCTAGTTAACTTTTTGCATTGATATGACAAGGGTTGATCAGCATTGGATGCTTGTTTTATAGCTACCATCATAAAGAACTAAGATCATTTAAAACATTAACGAGACTTCAAATCTCAAGGAAATGTGTTATAACGCGCTTTGTCCGACTCTGATACTGATACACAAACTTCGTATATGCAAGTCCCCAACCGGCTACTGAGTAGGAAAACTAAAAGTGATGAAGGAAGTCTATTGGGTTAAGCCGAATTAAGTGCATGAACACTAATTCATATATATTTACACTCCTCAGAAAATGAAATCATTTCTCGGTCAATAACATGAACTTGTCGGTAGATTTTCAACTGTGGTAACATGGCCTTCTCAGTTGATTTTTGACTGACCCATCATGTCTATCTTTATTTCATCAAAAAGTCGGTCAGTTATACGCAATGTGGAATCTAATATAAATATTTATTGAAGAAGTAATAAACAGGGATGAAACGGCCGCCCAGTGCTTACAGGTTTTGAATGGTTATTTAATTAAGATCAATTTGTGGTTTCATTTGTGAAAATATTATGATCTCGTCAAAATTACCATACTAGTAAAAATAACACTACTTTGTCATTACAATTAAGTGGATTTTGTATTGCATTCTGTAAGTGACCAAAACTTACAGATTTCGTAATTTTAATTGAATAAGCCTGTGATGATAGTCTCATTAGCTGATAGCCAAACTTCTGAAATCCATCGCATGGGATCTAAGCAACGAAAATTTAGAAAAACAACAAAGAGTACTAGTGGGTTTACAGTATGGATGCATAGATTACGTCATTTTAATAGTGAATTCTAACAAGCGAATTTTTAAGAGTTCAGTAACAAAACCCCTACCATATTAAACAACACGAAATAATCATAGTCTGCAAAGGCGTCATTGGTAAATATAAGATCGAGTAAAAACAACTATGAAAGTTAATCGATTTACAAATGCTATTTAATTCCTGATAGTAGAAAGGTCTACTCTTATATTTTTGATTGAGATCATGAACCGATTGATGTTAGACCACCATTGAAAGCCTGGAAGCACTGGACGGCCGTTCCGTCCTATTGTGGGACTCAGCAGTGCGCACTCACGGTCCCGCTCGCGGGATTCGAACCCAGGGCCTCCAGTCTCGCGTGCGGACGCTTAACCTACAGGACTACTGAGCCGGCATCCAATGGTGTTAATGTTCTGGTAAGAAGCCGTGACCAGTGAAGCTAATCTGTGTCGGGTAGAAACAGGTGTCTGCCTCAGTACAATGGAAGATGGTCGTGCAACTTCGTGGATTGGTTGAGGATAGACATTAAAACCGTTAGATGCCGGCTCAGTGGTCTAATAGTTTAAACGTTCGCACGCGAGACTGAAGGCCCTGAGTTCGAATCCCGCGAGCGGGACCGTGAATGCGCACTGCTGAGTCCCACAATAGGACGGAGCGGCAGTCCAGTGCTTACAAGTTTCGAATGGTGGTCTTACATTCATCGATTCATGATCTTAATCAAAAAGTTAACAATCTCCACAATCCCTAAACTGATCTTATGTTTTTGTTGATGACACGTTTCACTCCTTATAAGTAGTATGATGTATGTACTATAATTTTCAACTCACCTTACGGCAGACCACATTACATTGTCCGTCGACATTAAGAAACGATTCAGTTATTAAAAGTATATTTTGTTCAGCTGATAAATGGCAACTGACAAGCTAAAAAAAATGAATATTTATTAAATAATAATCACAATTATAATAATGAGTACCTTGGATGTATCAGTATGATTCAATGTATCATCAGCTGAATGTAAATTATAAGCAGCGATTTCGAATACCCCGAACCCGTAAAAATAAACTGTATTTTTCGAATAAACTGTAAGTATCGGAAAACTAATCACAAATAAATTTCAAGAAATTTAGGATGAATATGTTGCAAACTACTTGTTGCCATCGATATCTCGAAGTAATTGTGCATATTTACAAACATCAGAAGATGAGAAGTTCACATCACTGTAAGGAAAAAATAGATTTAATCATCATATTACTAAATAACAACAAGTTCATACGATTTAAACATAGATAAATGCTTCACATCTGGAAAGTATGTAGCTACATTATTCTTAAGATAGTTAATCTCTGAATTACTATTATTGGTATTTGTAATTGGACTTTGATAATTGGTCCATAGAAGATAATCAATTGTACTGGGAAATTGTAGCTCATGAAAAACGAATCCATCACCAACAACAAAGAAGCATACTTTACCAGATGAGAATGCAGCTGTTAATATTTTGCCATCCGGTCTCCAAGTCAAATTAGATACACTGCCTAGATCTGATTTATCACACTCCCAAATACATGTCATTTTATACCTAGACAAAAGTAAAAACAAATAAGATGGAACCGAAGATAAGTGTACTAATAGAGAACAATTTCGTTAGACAAGAAAAATATACAAACATAAACTTATGTATACTATTATATTTAACAGTAGATGTAATTTAATCAACTGAATTTATGGTTTTCAGAATATAGCGGTCTCGTCGATATGAATGAATGCAATGGCAGGATAATAATAATTTATATATTCTGAAAATAGTAATTACCGAATTCACGCCAGTTTACAGGCATAATCAATTTGATATAAGGATGCATAACATTCAGGAGCGTACATGGAAAATGAATTTAACCGCTTTCTCCAATACCTTTTCTTTCGACGAATCACAGAAATGCCATACAATAATGATTGACCTGTGATTGAGAATGTAAGCTACCCCTCCCTCACAAAAACAACTTGATTACATTTTATTTTACTCCTACAAGATAGAATCTTCTATGTAAGGTTTTATTTCAGAAGAGCTAGGGCTATGTGACGAAGAGGAACTGGAGTATCAAAATATTGGCGTTGAAGCTAGAAGTTATTGCACTTAGTTCAAGACAAATTACTTCAACTATGTAGACTTATTATTTGACTACAATACAACTCTTCATAAATAAATATTTTTCACTAACCTAAGATTAGAATGGAAAAATAGCTAAAAAAATGCCGGTTGGTTCAACGACTTTTTGAAGAGAGTAAGAACATTCAAAACCCCATAGGTTCATTTACTTCAATCTTAAATAAATCTTCCTTCCTGCCACAATGGGCACGGAATCTTATTCAAAATTTCAGATTGAAGTCAAAATTGGTGACTAACTATGAAGTCGAGTTCACTTTTGCTGAAACATAACCAAGTGAAAACTGAGAAAACTTTGCATTTAGCATTCAAGTAAACTTGTGATGCCAGTCTTTAGATTGTTACAGACGTTAAACAAAAAAAGAATTCATTTCATTAACTGATAATGACATGTCCCAATTTATTCCATCCCCAACACTACTCGTTATAACTGACCAAAGACAAATATGGATTGATGCGAGGAAGTGGAGAAAGACTACAAATAAGGATTCATTATGCATCGGAAATAGATCAAAAACTATCCCTTAATAAGTTGGGTTTATATGCTTCATTCGGATTGACCAAAAGTCATATTTGAATAAATTGAACTAGGTACCGCTTGATATCAGTTGATGGATAAATCAGTCCGGTTATAAACATTAGCGTATTATAGCATAAAACAGCTTCAACTGACAAATGTAACATTTTTGAACTGCATGGTTACTCCTTTCTAACAAGAAAGAACTGCAAAATCTTAACTTGGGTCATGGAAAAATGACCAAAGGCCTTAAGAAACTGAATAGAATGTATCAGTCACACATTAGCATATGTGTGACGGCGTAAATATGATCACTCATTAGGCGAATCATATAGTCTGGACCACCTACCGATCCGATTGTTATGTAGTTCGAATTATAATGCTTGTACTTTCCTGCTGTAATTGAAATGTGGTACACAGTTTATCAGATGTTAAAGGATACAATGATATAACTTTAGGCAGTAGGTTTCACTTTTTCCTTAACAGAATCTCAGTGAATAATTTCGTTTGATTTAGAAATCATATAATTTCATAAGTAGAAACTGTCACACCTATAGTAGGAGTCGTAAAAAATAAACCAAATATTTCGACAGGAATTAAACTGAGTTTGCTCGAATAGTCGATTACGACTTAACTGTTATACAAAATTTCAGACCACTAAGTTCCTACCAAATCGTCGATAAATTATAAAAGCGTCACAAATGCAATGATAGGCAGTATTCAAAATTTACCTGTGCACAGAAACACACCCACTTTCTGAACCTAAAGCAATCAAGTCCGTCTTCGGCGACCATATACATGCAACAATTTTAGTTCTCATTAATTGTCGAGTCTCCACAAGGGAGTAGGTGAAATCGACAACCATGTTGCTACAAAAAAAAACACAAAGGTGTGGGTTTAAGATACATAAAAACAAACAGGAAATAACGACTGTTTATTACGATGCATTTTGGAACACCGAAAACCTAAGATAAGAAAATAAAAATATTATGGGCAACTAAGGACAAGGTAGTGGGAAATTTAAGAATTGTGAACCCTTGCTCGATGTCAGCATAACGAGCATACGCAACTAAGTAGCTGTGTATTGGAAGTGAACTAGACAGGTTAGACGTAGGAATATATAGTTATTAATTATTTCAGTATAGTGAAGCTCTTGATATAAATAACCAATAACAGTAACTCTGGAGTCACAGTTTTTCAAACTAAAGATATTCAAGAATTAGCGTTCATGAAAAAATGTGATATTTTGTATATTATAATTAATTTTGCCTAGATTTCGCTGCAACGGTCAGAAAAGATAAAGTATAGTAACGTACACAATTACCTGGCATGTTACACATTGAGTGTTAATCAAGATGAGCAGGTGGACAAAATGAGTCTCATAAAATACGTAGGATGCAACTAGAGAATATATTTTATACTTTATAATACATTAAGTAAACGAATGGTATGTCTATAAGTTCATTTATTATTGCTCAATTAATAGATATTTGAAAAAATCCTTTAGTATTAGTAGCTTTTTAAAGCAACTTAACAAAGATTTCGGATGAAAACCAGCTAAACTCGATGAAGCTAACTACCCGGGTCTCAAGCTTGATCACATTTTCATAACATTCTTCCTGTATTTAGTACGTGTAACCTAAATCAGTATAAACTGACCTGCAAACAGTTAACAAGCTGCACGAGGACCAACTTAGGACAGATTTAAAGTTTCGTGACTTACTAAGTTTAGTCAAACCCTGAATATGTTAGTTTGAGTCAATTGTGCCAGTAGTAGCTTCACACAGTCAAGCTTTTGACCATAAGTGGAGAGTAAAAGTGTTGTCATATAAAAGCATACCCATTGTATAGAGATTCATGCATTAAAATATACGACTTTGTGGCAGATACAAGTAGACCAATATCAATAATCTTAATAATTACACGAAAATTTATGCCAGTAACACAACTTGATGATTTCGATAGATATATTTTTTGAAACCAAAGGTATAAATTCATTGCCAAAACCAAAACAAGCTAGTGCTAATTCGATTAGTTTACTTATTTATTTACTATCTGAGGAAGTGGTACACTAATTCACGAAACGCCAGAATTTCTCATTTTTACTCATTGAATATCACAAATATATTATTATTAAATATACTCTGCCGAATGTTCAGTTTATTTCAAACGAAGTCCAACTTTGGTAACGATACTCAAATAATAAACAAACTCTGATTTGAATATGCATCGAATTAGTGGAAAACAGAATTTCCAAACGCTTGATCACAAAAAAATTCCAGTTCTCAACAGCCTGGTTAATAGTCATGCAAGCATTTGTCAAATAAAGAAGTAAACTGAAGACTTAACAATAATAAATTCAGCAACAAAAATAACATACAGCTTTATATATTTTTTCATGGATACACAGTACTGAAAGTAAACTAAAAAACAATTTTCTGAATGTTTGTATTTAAAATACTAGATACATAAAGTTTCTTTAAATCAGTATTATATACACTAGTGAATCAAAAATTAGCTTATAATATTTTTATTTACAACTAAGCGGTTGATCACATATTTCAGCAACACGCTTGATAAGATCGCTGATAGCGGAATATTTATCTAAAACAGGTTTTAGTGAAACGAAATATTCTGAAAACTCGCAAAATACAGTCCAATGTCCATACAAAAGGGCATCAACCTTCCCAGGTGTACTACGTTCAAATAGAAATGGGCCATTACCAAGTAGTTCAACAATACTGACACAAAGTGCTTCCATATCTTTCACGATATCACTTGTACTCATTTTATCCCAACCAATAGATTCCAAAAAACGAAGATGTTGTTGTCGTTTTCGTCTGGCAATAAATCTAGTTAGCAAACACGGTGTAGAAGATTTAAGACGTTCGTAAGTCAAATTCGAATAGGTAGATTCATGAAACCAGGTGAAATAAAGCATTACATTCCGTAATGTATCAGAAATCCAAAATAAGTAAGAATGTCGTAAACTGCGTGAAGTAAGTTTAGAACCATTAAGATTAATATCCTTATTGGCTTTTAATATACTCAAACGCAGACACAAAGAAGTGTAACCAGTCACAATAGAGCCATTAAGAATAGTAACAGGGAGTAAGTGATCAGGAGAACATGAATCAGCGTTTAAAATATGATCAACATGGAATGGTAATCTACTTCGAGACAAATAGCAAATGACAGAACGAGTTGCAGCTTCATCACAAGGAAGTATAATCTGGCGTGGGTGCGTTAATAAAAGAAGCTTTGACATTTGACCGAAGTTTAACTCTGAGTACTTAAATTAGTATTTCAAGCTGTAATAAAATAAAAACAGAAAATACAGTTACATTTACCTGTAAATACGAAAAATTCATACACGACATGAGCCGGTCTATTATATTATAAATGGAAGAGACGACGTTCATTAAGCTAGTCTTCTTTTAAAATATTTATGCGTTACACAGAACCATGAAGGAAAAGCCTGACGAGCCGACAGAGGATAAAATACTAACGGAATGTCACTAAAGTTGGCATACAAAAGATTCGTAGGCTATATATTGCTTTAGTCACATTACGTACACTAGTCATGAAAGGCATTCATGAAACAGAACATACAAGTGCTAAATCCTATATCGGTCCCAAAAATAATCCGATTAGCTATGACAGACAGGTTTTCTATCCTAATCGAATTTACGGAATGGTCCCAATATACATAAATTAAAGCACGTGATAGAGATTCTGAAAATAAATTGGCAAAAATGTATTATTTCCACGGCCGTTTTGTATTATAATCACATCAATATCCCTGTACTAAAATAACTACGAGTATTTCGACAAGCCAACATGCTATAAGCTTATATTCTAGTTAATACGCAGATTCTCCTTAGTGTTTAATAAAACTTAATGAACAAAATAATATATGGACTGATGAGAATCATAAGCTTCACTACTCAAGAACGCATCATTGGTATTGAGACGCTGAGGAAAAAAAAGATTGCACCTCTGAGGCATAAATACGAACTGGACGCGGTTATCTGAAAATACAGAAAAGCACTGACCCACACTTGAACTTTTACATGGCCGCTTTTGCAACTTCCCGAGGTGTTAGTCAACAATTTTAAACTTAAAACATGTCAGTAGAGATTGTGATATTTCGGTGATAGTCGTTAACGTTTATCAAAGCCAACAAACTAGTTTGATCGGACTGAAGTTGATTAAGGTATAAAAAATATCATTGACAATTTCTTTATGTATTATTTTTACAAGCTTAAGGACTCCTCGAATTAGTTTTAGGCCTTTTATTCTGAGGGTTTGCTGCAAACCAGACTACACTTTTCCTATGTATAGGGCATAACGAGACAGTATGAAATGTCATGAGTTTATACAATTGTGCAACGAAACTTGCGCAACTCGGAAAGTAGGGAATAACCAGGTGTACTGTAGCCTTAAATCGCACACCAACACATACATTTTTAAAACTTTGTAAGGATGTTATACTTCCTTAGGGATAAATAACTATAAATTGTATATAATTCGTCCTGTTTAAGTGACGTTAGTCAGGACTTTGAGTGATATAATGAAACACTATGCAACAACAGTGCCTGGATTGAGCACATGATATCAATTAAATAAGTGACAGCCAAGTTTACAAAAAGCTGCAACTTCCCAGAGGTATTTACCGATATAAGTGATGTAGCACGACAAGCAAATCATAATTTTTGGAAACTAAAAATACCATGAAATTATCTCGACCTCATTATTTAATTTTTAGAGAGATTCGCTTGCTACACCAAAGTCGAAAAAAATAGGTAAATGCTCTAAACTTAAATGACGAAACTACTGATGAACTATACATGCGAAAATCTTATTTATTGCGCTCCAACACACCCTTGAACGATACCTTGAGCAAACGTTAAATGGACAATAAGTAAGTTCAAATGGTTCAAATGGTTCAAATGGTTGTGGACGGAATAGAAGAAGCTTTCGCTTAACAGGCTTCCGTGTCCAGTAGCAGGGGATCACGAAATCCTCCAGGCAGGAACCTAGGTATGTTAACAATAAAAGAGGAAAAGAAATTGGTAAATCATAGTGTGATGCTGTCCTTGGTTCTTAAGAATAGGTCAAGTTGCCTCTTGAAGGACTCCTGAGAAGTCGCTTGGACTAGCTCGGCTGGCAGCGAATTCCAGCTTTTGACAACTCTTAAGGAGTGGAAGTTGTGTCTACATTCCGTCTTGCTTTGTTGTGTTTCCAGTTTCTGGGTGTTACTCCTTAGGTTATTATTCGAACTAAGCTTAAGTAGGTGTTTAAGAGGATGTCCAGAAGTGTTAAGAATGCTATAAGCCATTAGTAAATCACCTCTAAGACGCCTATATTCTAGTGGGTAAAGGTCTAGTGAACGGAGGCGTTCTTCGTAAGGCTTAGATTTGAGTCCTCGAACTGATTTCGTGGCTCGACGTTTGATACGCTCCAAAGTGACTTTGTCCTTATGGAGTGAGGGGGGAGTACTATGTTTCCGTACTCTAAATGGGGACGGATGAAACTATTGAAGATTGTGTGGAAAGTTCTTCCGTCAAACTGGCCAAAAATGCGCTTCAACGTTACCAGTGCAAGGTTTGCTCGGAAGGCATTTTTGTCACAGTTAGCGTAAGACTTCAAATAATGGGGCACCAGGACTCCTAAATCTTTTCCGACTTGGGATACTACTAGAGAGGAGTTTCCTAAGTTGTAACTGTAGTTTGCGACATGTCGCAGATAGACTACTTTACACTTTGAAGTGTTAAAGGTAAGTCCGTTATCGTCTGCCCAACTTTGAAGTCGCGTCTGATCCTCCTGAAGTGCCTGTGTATCGTCTTGGTTGCGTTTCTCTCTCCGAAGTTTCACGTCGTCGGCAAAAAGTAATAAGTCTGACGTTACCTGCTGGGGAAGATCATTTATGTAGATCAAGAAGAGAAGAGGCCCTAGTACTGAGCCCTGGGGGACCCCACTAGGACATTCCATAGCCTGAGATAAAGTTAAATTAACCCTAACCTTAAAGTGTCGATTTTTTAGGTATGAAGTAAGCCAATCGATTAGAGGTGGTTTGATACCTAGTCGTTTGAGCTTGTTGATAAGACACAAGTGGTTAACCTTATCAAAAGCTTTTGAGAAATCAAGGTAAATGACGTCAACCTTTCCCTTGCAATCGAGGATGCTTGTCCATTTGTCCACCGCAGTCAGCAGGTTGGTTGCACAAGAGTAACCCTTCCTGAAACCATGCTGTTGGGGTGAGAAGAAATTTAAGGACAGTAGATAGTCATTTAAACCGTCGCATATCAAGGACTCCATGAGTTTTGAAGGTAATGACAGAAGAGCCACCGGCCGATAACTTGAAGGTTCATTGCGTCGACCACCTTTGAAAATTGGTGTGATGTGAGCCAACTTCCAATTTTCCGGTAATTTGCCTCGGCTAAGCGAGTGTGAAAACATCACGCTAACCGGCGTTGCCAGGATTGAGGCTGCCTCCCTCAGTATGGCAGGATGAACCATATCCGGGCCAGGAGAAGTGTCAAGTCTTAAGTGCTGCAATTTCCGGAACACCAAGTCAGCGCTTAGGTCCACTTCAGAAAGTCCTGTGGAATTGCAGATGAAACTGTCGTCAATAAAGTTGATGTCAGCCGGTTGAAATGTTTGAGAGTAATGTGCCGCCAGAAGGTTAGCGGCGTCGCCATCGTTGTTGGTCGGGCAGTTAAGACCTAGCAGTTGAGAAACTCCTGTTCTGGCTTGACGAAGAGAGGCTGCATAACGGAATAGGCTTCTAGGGTTAGAGGCGAATTTGTCCATAAGCTTTGTTTGGTACTGAAGCCTGTCTTCTCTTATAGCCTTCGTGCATGTGTTCCTGATATGTTTGTATTGCCTATACGCTCCATCGTTATTAGTTCGTTTGTATTCCGCCCAACAGTGCCGTTTGCGGCTTAGGAGGCGAAGGGTACGGTTCTTGATTACTGTAGGTGGCTTGCAGCTTTTGGGAACCGTTTGAGGAACTGAATGGTCTGTAGCACATAAGAGCGTGTGCAGTAAGAAGTCCTAATGACCATCCACATCGACTTGAGGGTGAACATCCCAAACCACCTGTTGTAGATAGTCATGTAGAGCTGGCACATTCAGCCGTTTAAAATTCCAACGCAAATTATTGTTGGGATACCTTAGCTTAGTTTTGATGACAAAACTGAAGGCAATGACGGCATGATCGCTCTTTCCCAGAGGAGCCAGGATTGAGAGGTTGTCGACTAGGAATTCTTCGTTAGAGAATACACAGTCTAAGCGCGATGGTGTCTGACTGTTTCTCCAACGAGTTGCCGACCTCACATTTTCATATAAGCCCAAGTCATCGATGAGGTTGAAGAACCGAGCTTCAGTTGAGTTGTCGCCTCCAGTGTACGTGTGTTCCGCGAAGTTGACTCTAGGGAGATTAAAGTCCCCTAGAATCAGGATGTGTGTGAAACCGAGACGGATAAAGCGGGATAGTCCTTCCAGCATACGACTATCGTACTCGGTGTCGGCAGTTGGCTTCCTGTAAATGACTCCGACTAGACACCTGGAAGTACTAGACAATCTTACAGAGCACCATATGGATTCCTCAAGATTGTTAAACTCGAGGTTGTGAACCTGGTGTACCTCCAAGCAAGAGCTTATGTATATGGCTACTCCGCCCCCAATTCCTGTTTTTCTGTCGTTGCGGAACAAAGTCATCCCAGGTAATGCTAACTCTTGGTCCGAGAACTGAGAAGATATCCAGGTTTCAGATATTCCTATCAGATGGGCCTTATTAGCGTTGCTAAGTTCACGTAGTTCATCCAGTTTGTTTGGTAGACTCGCGGCGTTCATATATAAGCAGTTTATGCTTTCAATTTGGAACGCGTGAGGTTCGTCCTGTTTTTCTGTATGAGCCTTATGTGAATGGACAGGTAGCCCACCTATATGAGGTTTGCCGAGGTGGTAGGCCCTGTCCTTTACACGTTTTTTTATCGTTTAGGCAGTCCACAAGTGGAACGGTCAGCTCCAACTTGCCTTTGTTCTTGGTCCTAACTTCGTATGGCCTATCCGGGTGCATGTGGATTCCAGGTGGCAATCGACGTCTATTAGCACGAAATGCTTCCAGAACTGCAGCCGCCATGTGGGAAGATGGGAAGGTTATCTTCATTAGACGGGGTCTAAGATCACCGTCCTTCTTGGCTAGTCTCGTCACATGCTGAGTCAGTATGTGTTTGAGCCTCAAGGACTGTTTGATGAATT